TGGGGGGGGGGGCAGATAAGATCAAATAGACGAAGCTCTACAAACTTGGATATCTCATAACTTCTGGAGGGCAAACTATAGCCTTTCATGGTCAACTAGTGACGTAACTACAAGTGAAGCTCCTGTCAGCGAGGAAATTGAATTCCCGTCAGCTTTTCCAATACAGGCCACTTTCCTGAGCTCTAGTCGCCGGCAGCCACGAGTGGGAGCAGAGGCAGGTACTTGGCAATATTCTTTTCGAGCAACTAGTTAATCTTACGGGAGCGGTTGGAATTGGTAAGAAGACTGGGTGTTCTTCATTGCAAATGCATTGCAATTGGCCACTACGCCAACTATCATTGACAAGGAAGTAAAGCCCAAAAGTTTCTAGGGAGACCAGGACGGTCAAGAAACGTTAGTGGTTCTGTGCCTCATCGTGATCAGCCACAATGTGTCACGTCATGAGACTTGTTGTTAAGTAAGCTTCTTCATAAAATCATTATTCTTGTTGTTCCGAGTGCTGCAGACTCCGTTTGCAGCTCTCTTTTTAATACCAAAAAAACTTCCTTTCGTCCGAATTTAACTTTCGGCTAAGTTTAGTCATGATAGCCGACGCTATGGCAACCAGCTATTACACCAAGCTCTGTGACTTCAGTCTACAGAGGCATTATCCGACGCAATGTGACCGTCACAAGCTGACTAGGCCGTATTCCCGCCTGCCGGCCTGGACCCACGCACGCGTCCAGCTCTAGAGTACAAGACCATATTTGTTGCTCTATCTTCACTTTCTTCTTTAGTTCCTAGATACTGGTAGTATTCCACTAACTAGTTGCTAATATACTCAGCTGGAACCGTTAATATGAGTAGCATTTCACGTATAGTGTGTGACACAGGAGCCGCTATCAGCGCGACCCCATAAAGATGCTCCTAAGGTTGCACAACAGGTGTTTGGGTGGCAGGGTGGCAGGTGTCCAGAATGATTCAAAGCAATTACCTGGCATAGGTTTAGCATATATATGCAGAATGAAGCAACTAAGACAAGTCGACCCTCGCGACGATCTGAAATGATGTGATAAACGCTTCTTAAGCTTGTTATCGCAGAGAAACCATCAGGTGCTAAAACCTCTGTGGACGCCATAGAAAAAGCAGCCTTTTCACCATATTTGTTACCTGAGTCCATACGTAGACCGCAACCCAAGTAGAGGAAAACCTTGGAACATTCTAAGCTGACACGATGCTTCCTATGAGGATGAAGACGAGGGTCCATCATCTCGTCTGCGCTTCGCAGGCCGATGTAGCAGCTCATCATCAAACTGCCTTCCTCTCCTGGATTCCCCAATGATAATTTCCCCATGGCCAACAACATTATCGGTTCCGACAACCTCCGTACTTGCATCCACTTTAATTTTGATAGGTCGTGGTCGGCCATCTTCATCAACCATGGGAATGCCGCACTGACCAGAACTATTCTCCTTGATGGTATTCAGAACAGCACGAGCAATAGCATTAGCTTGATCAGCAGGCGACTCAGAGATACTAACGCAGTTGTTGTCACCCGAAATCTCAACGGCAGCACTGATTTGTAGGCTGATGGATGATAGGGCTTCGTCAGTATTGTCTTCCTCCGTGCAATCCAAGCCATTGCGGCCCCAGGGCCAATTGGGCCTTAAACCAGGAAAGTATGATGGAGGGGGCGAAGATTGGGTTGTATCTGCATTTGGAAGCATGGCTGATCAGTGTTGTAGCAGCATTCCGGCACCCAGGCAGTAGCTTTAAAGGGTGTGGGTAGTCGGGCAAGAGGTCAAAGTAAAGAAACTGAGTGTTTCAGGGGCAAACATCCGGCGAAGACGGGCTTTAATAATGGGAGACTGGAAACGCGATAAGTAATATGAATTTTCCTGCCTTTCGTCAGGAAATGTGGCTCTGATCTCGCTATTGTTCTGATTGTTCGTCAGGTATTGTCATCCATTTCTGGCTTAGGTGCGGGGGCAAACTTCTGATCGGCCAATGGCGCAGAGCTCCCGCGGATGACTCCTGCGGGTCCTCGCCTTGTGGCGTTGGATACCATTCGAACGAGAGCGTAGAGGTCGGGGAATGGACCCGATTACGAACAACACAGGATTTGGACAAGCACTAGCTAGGTTGTCCATACGGTAATGCAGGGTGTTGTGGATGAAGTGTTGTGGACGTGCAAACACTCAATGGCTGGAGAATACCGCATCGCTAAATTCTTGCAGGCTAAAGCATACGCAGACACCCGTGTCGCCTGTTAGACTATGCAGGCACCACGGGCCCGCGCGGATGAACTCCGCTCGCTTGAATCAGACCCTTAGGGAAAAGATCCGGGGACACGGGATATGTTTACACAGGCATGAGGTCATTGCGAGGTTATTACAACGAGCATCTCGATGAACATAAGACCTTTTTTTTTCCCCTTTCGAATTTCTTGGTACGAGAAGACCGGCCGGAGCACGTGAAACGCATGATGGGGAACCACTTGGTTTGGCAAGCTACATGTTATACCTCAGAAACAGTTTGGCAGGGAGACATGTCTTACGGCGCCTTGTGGTGTCTGAGCCAATGAACGCCAGTCTTGGTCACCACCGTGGTTTTTTTTGGGAGACGGAAACAAGGGCTTCCAGCCCGGTTACAATTTCACAATCCGCTTCAAGCCACATCAGCCTGCCCCACAATAGTTTTTCCAATTCACAAGGATTGTAACAAGGCTTCAGGGGACTCGCCATACACGGGTCAGAAAGAAAGTGCATTCTCACCTGGGTGTTGAGCCACAGTGGTCTTCGACAAGAGCGCGGGGAGCGTATGCAGCTTGGAAGGTTTGCGGGATTGCCCTAGCAAACAAGGCAAGGATCTGCGGCTTCAGGCGCAACCAACCAGAGACTCAGAGACTACACCGCAATATGGCAACAGACAATATTGATATTGGCCTGGACTTCCTCAGCCCCTTGAGGCGTCATCTGGGCCACTGTCCGGCGTCAGAGCGTGGTGGTTTTACAAGTAGCAAACAGTCTCTTCAAAGCTACAGTACGAGGCAAACATGCAAGTCTCTCGGTTCCAACTAAGACAAAGCAAAATTTCGCAAAATGGCTGTCCGATTACAGGAACGCGTATGCTTGGGGGGGGGAAGCAGTGTATATATTTTAGCCCAAGAACAACGGAGGTAAGTTGGCAAGACAAAGACCAAGTTCCAAAATGTCACAAATTGACGTACCCACAATTGTTGGTGTTGTGTTCGGCGTTTTTTCTGCCTCGGTTTCGCTGATCGGCATTTACATTGCGTGGAGACAACTCCAAAACAATCCGTTCCGCAACGTAAGTCATGTTGGCCTTGTCTCTCACTAAAATCTCGCTAACTCTGCGTCCAAAGTGGCAGCAAGGAACGCCTTAGAATTCTGGGGGAAAAAACACAACTGGTGTGAAACCCCCCGTCCAGAATTTTTGCGGGGTTGAGTTTCAGTTCTATGTGGGATCTGGATCGATATTTATCTTGGGATTGAATGAAATGGGACGGGGGCAAGTTATGAAGATTGAGAATAGATCCTTTATGGCTGAAGGCAGAAATTGCGGACGAATGTCTGTTGCGTTGATACAGTCACCCGCCGACTGAGGACTCCGGGGTTGGCGAGTAGCTAATGAACTCAAATGCGCAAATGAAATTACACATATGGGCTAGATATTTCTTCGCCAAGCAAGTTTAACCTCGGGCAATAAAAATGTCGACTTCCAGATTCACATTCCGTATGCCGTATGGTTCTGAGGTACTCCCATGTGGGTTTTTGAGTAGTCTTCCCATTTTACGAGCGCCTTCTTATACGTGCCTTCTTTTCGTCAAGTATACATTCAACACGGTACATCTCCTGGCCGTCCACCAGTACTGGCTGGGCGAGTTCGTGATCCATTTCCTGTGAAGGTAAGGGGTGATCGGGGACTGGCCGAAGCAGATCCACGTGGAATACTGGGTGTATGCGTCCGGGCACTTCTAACTTGTAGGCATGTGGGTTCATAGCATCTCGCTGATAGGGTTGGACAGATGTTAAATGCTGAGCAGACGGTAGGATGTGCGACTCCGCTGTCATCCGCTACCAGCTGCGACCCAAGACTTTACGTCTACAAAACTTAAGTAACGTAATGCCTAAGCACGAGATCCGTCGCACTTGGTGGCAATGTGCCGGTGCTCGCGAGCTCTGGTGCCGAGTATAATTGTTTACCTCAAGTCCCTTAACATGTTACAAGAAAACTGCGGTCGACTGGAACATTGCATGCTGCGTTCTACGGCTTTGGTAGAACGAGGCCTAATTGGCAAGGTTGGTTAGCTCGAGCAGCCCAGGTTTGCGTGATTACACCACAAGCAGAGCATTGCAGGTGAGCTTTGGGTAACGAATCAATTTTGCAGAACTGCGGGATGAAGTGAACTTTCCCTGGTGATGAGGGGAGACAACAACGAGACGCTGGCACGCTGATAGCTGAAGTTCGTTTCCTTTTGTGCATCACATCGTATCCAGGAAAATAGACGCTCAGTCTCAATACCCTGATTCGTCGAAAATACTTCAAGCAGCTACTGGATTATATAGCAGCTGTTGCGCAGATTGCCTGTGCTGAGAGCATCGCACTATTGTACCTTCTGCTTCAGTTCCCAGCCAGCCATCTGCAATCCCCGTGGCCTCCTTCCTCGCCAGTCAATTTAAACACTATATCCTCCCGTTTGAGAAAGAGGGCTTTTTGACTAGAAGTCTTGCATTTCTTTCGAGTATTACGATGACCCCAATCATATACCAGCAATTTGTGTGCAGGAGGGCTCTGAGGCCTAGTCTTTGAAGGTACTTATAGCTGTCACTGAGGCTAAGCGGGCGGGGCGACAGCCACTCGGTTCTACAGGTCTTGAAACACGGTTTTGAGGGAATCTTTTCGATACTGTCCACAGCACCACCCAGTGAGTGCTTCCGGATAGCAGCCCTAAGATTGAAGAGGGACTAAGAATGTCGGAACCTAGCCGCTGATGATGATATCTTTGCTGCCGTTGTATCGATGTGCTCTAAGCGAATTCTCTGCCGTTTGCGGCTCTCGGGAAGCAAAGCGCCAAAACTGTCGATGAAAAGCCTTCTCTTACTCTCTTTACGGCCACTCGCGAAATGTTCTTCGCAGTTCACAGTCATCTGCCCACAGTTCGTAGGGAGGATGTGCAGTAGTTTATGTTGTTATAAAACCGGAATCACGACGCTTTGCACCGCCGCTTTTAGCCACACCAACTCAGGCACGAATCACCCACCGCTCAGTGAGATCACCTACGGCTCCCTGAGTTACTCTGAGCTCTCCCTGAGCTTTCTGAGCTGTCCCTGAGCTGTACCTGAGCTGTTCCTGAGTTTTACCTGAGCTTCAAAACGCTCCAATAAAACGCATGAGAAAATCGGGTTGCAAGGGGTGTGGTTAGCAGACAGTTTCTGCCTACAACGGAGCGTGCTCCAGGGGCTATGCCGCTGCCACTTTACCATAGGTATATATACCTCCCTTCTCCTCCAAGTCTCCTGGTGCTGCCGTGCCAATCTACACATGTCTTTTCCATTATCACAGAGATGTCTCTTGTTAAGTCTGGAGGCAGACAGGCGCGGGACTATGATAAGCTCCTCGACGAAGCCTTTGAATCTGGATTGTCTCTAGACAAATCGAATGTTACACCTCACTTGGTCTATCGCAATCTTGCTCCAAAGAGTAAGATTTTGTATAAAAGCCTGCTTGAGCCATGGAAGGCGTACGTTTGAGCTCATTCCCATGGGATCTGGACGACCGACTAACAATGCCAGATATGAGAATAAATACCCGGAGGCAACGCCACAAGAAATGGCAACCTTAAAACACTTTGCTAAATTTATTGCATTGGCGATGAGAGGCAGAGTCAAGAAAGATAATCCACATGGGCGGCCGAGAGTCGATAGTGTTCGGAACCAGATGCGCAAGTTTTGCAGTGCCTGGAACCGAGACAATGTAGACAAAGGGCAACGAATTCCAGAAGAAGTGAGCCTGTCTATGGCACCAGTGAGTTCCATTCCACTTTAAAGATTAAAATTAGCACTAACCAGAATCACAGTACATTGAAGGCGAACTCGCGGATCAAATAGGACTACTACGTGGAAAACAAGCAAAGGTTCGCAGGAAATATTTCACACTGGACAACTATAAAATACTTCAGCAGTTCCACTGGGAAGAAGACTGGCACGATTACATTCACGAGGGCAGCCGAGTTGAAAACACAAATATGGTCAATGTACATTGCTACACATCTGCAAGACTAAGTGAAGTTTGTCAGGCAAAATACAGAGTGAGTTCAAATTCCATACAGCCTCATTTTTTGCTCTTATTAACCTTAGACCACAGGATCTTGAATGCATAATTGGTTATTACGACGGAGAACCAGATATCAAGCTGAAGTTTACCAGGGAATTTTGCAAAGCTAAGAATGTTGACCAGTGTGTGACCGCCCCTTGCTGCAAGAGACAAAAGATTTTACAGTACCTAACCAGAGTATAGGCCGGAGCACCCATTCCCAGAAAGAATGAATGCTTCAGACGGACTCTATCCACCACTTGTAGCTCAACCGATCATTCATTGGTTAGCCAACATTATTTCGTCTCAAGCATTGGCGCAGTATCATACACTTGACCAAATTCTCGCGGCCAGACCCCCTGAGAATAGGAGCTACCGCGCTCTTGAGTGGGCGGACTATATGTTGGATCAGCCGGTGTTTCCAGAATGGCAGCCAAATGGGAGAAAATCGAAGCCGAGACTTCCAACTGCATGGGGCAAGCAAGCGTCTGCTTGGGCCATCCGTGCTGGACTAACAAATTGATTGGGATTTCATTCCATTCGCCGCAAAGCACTCATCAACTGCAATGGTAGGATTCTGCTTCTTTCTAAGCAAATTTTCGCTAACCTGAAACTGTTTTAGATGGCGGATATTCTCTTGGTTCAATATTGAAGTTTGCCTCACAGAACAACACAAATGTTCTTGTGAATAAGTACCTTGGAACAGTATGTTCTGTGGACGGTGTGGCAATGTACCAAAACTTGTCACCCCGAAAAGACTTGGCCGAAGATTTCCTCTCAGCAACAATGAGATGGAACCCAGATCTCAAATTCCGTTTGCCCTCCGACAGAAACAATGAGATCAAGAATAGTCATACATATCTTTCCCTTACAAAGAAGATTGATACCTTGACCAGCAGGATTGCCGACGCCGAGCCCGGGGAGGATGTTTGTGATCTTGTGATGCGACGCAAACAAGAATATAGGAAGCGAACAACATTCATCAATCAAGAGCTTAGAAACTTTCAACTTAGTCAGAAGATCGTTTATGACGCTAAAAAAGAGGATCATGAGCAAACCGACTGGCATAGGGTTCGATTTAACCGAATTGCGCATATGCTGCCGCCGGAGCGGATAAGGCTTGCAGCGACTATGAAAGTCCAGGCTTCTCCGCGAAGTCAAGTGTGGAAACAGGCTGTTGAAGATTTAATATCTCTTCGCAACATGGACTGCAGAGTTGCGTACCAGCAAAGCCTGCAACCCACGAGTGGCTTCTGTCCGGTCGAGTCGTGCAAGCAAACGATGGCAAGGTGGGTTGTTCCAGAATATATCTCTACTAATGAATGTTGCTAATACTTGCCATGTAGCCTGCCTGTGGAAAAAAGATGGAGTCGCATATACCACTGCTACAAAAGGCGATACCTTCACCAATACGGCTTTGCAAAATTTTGCTTCATGTGTAGTGAATGGGTAAAAAACCCTGCATCGTGGGTTGCTCACTGTAAAACTCATATCGAGATGAACAATGTTCCATTCCGCTTCGATCCGGTCACCTTTCGCTATGCTGTTGCTTGTGCTGGCTATTGCGCTGTGTGTATCTGGCGCACAGAACTCGAGGCTGATGAGAGACTGAGGCAGTACTCGGACAGAGCAGCGTGGATAAGGCATACTTCGCGGTGTATTACGTCGTATGTCAGCAGCCAGGATGGAAAAACGACGCTTGAATGCCCCGATGAAAGATGTTCTATTGAATTCTCTAAGCAGGAATGCTTATGGCACCATCTGGACGACATCCACAGCATACCTACTCCTGCCGTAGGTGATATGTACAAGTGGAACTCAGAGCCACTTAGCAAATGGAATGATACTGGCATGCAGTCTATTCAGCATTACAGTCCGCGGAAATTGTCTCCAACCCCGACGCTAACGGGCTGGCAGACTTGGATTGACGAAGCTACGAGCGACTCGACATCACAAACGAGCAAAACAAATTCCTCCGCCTGGGATGATTACCGCCGATGCACTCCAGAGACTCAATTATCAGAAGTGGTCTACGAGTTTGAAAAGGCAGACATGACGGACGACGTCGCTTGTCTGCCAGATGTCAACGCTCCTACAGAAGCCGCTGTTGCTGAGGAGGAGACTCCAATTGACCCAATGCTCCTTTCCGCAAATGATACACACCTTGCGCTACAGTCAAACTCAACAATACCGTCCAATTTTGGAGTTGCTGAAGGTGGGCACGAAGAAGGCGTTTTGACAATCCCAGAGAAATTGGAGCAGGAACTGGCTCATGATGACCAATACCTTGTTGACCACTTACTTGGAAGATGGCGCCACAGAGGCAAAGTCTGGTTTTACTTGAAATGGAAGGATGGGAGCTACGGGTTTGTACCGGAAATGGACATCAATGCAAAAGACCGAAAGGATTTCGAAGCAAATGACTTCACAGGTTTCCACGAAGGCGCATTTGTAAAGCGTGTGAGAGTACGGAACGGCAAGGCAAGTTACGTGACAGGGTTTCTAGGCTGCGCGGATGAGTGGATACTACCAGAGCATGCGCTCCATCCAGACTTGGTTGCCGAGCATAAGTCAAGTACAAGGGGTAAAGGAAGGGGCAGAAGGGGCAAGAAAAAAGTGAGATAGTGTACTATGGCATATCTTTTTGTGGAATAATAGTATCATGTTGAATATTTGATGCGAGTTTTGCTCATGTAGATTCACCATACAAACTATGTCGCCTCCCAGGAACTGCCGGCGAGTTCGGGTTTTATGTTTATCTGTTGCGTATCTCGCGCACACACACTAACCTAACACTCTGTTTCCACTCGCTCAAGCCCTCGCTTGTCTTTGAGCCAGTTGTTAACCTTGTCCCTTCCTGGCCTATTTGTGCCTCTGCTTCTGCTCATTCTTTCCCAAATGGCTTAGCAAGTAAAGTCGACGCTGTAGGGGTAGGTTCCTCACTAGTTAGCCAAACGCTCCTTGGACGTCCAGCTTAAATATACTCCAACAGATTCCAAAGACGATGCTGCTGATAATCGTGGCCATGGAGGCGAATAGGTAGATGCACTCATCGCTCCAAAATGGAAGGCATAGTATCCATAGCCATTTAGTATCTCCATGGCCAAATCAACGAAAGTCTAACGTATTTTTTGGTTGTGAACAGTGAAGCGTGCCGCTCTGTAAAGACGGAGACTGTGGTGTTTTGTGGTATTAGTTGTATATAGAAGTAGAAAATTGACATTCTGGCAATCTGATTGGCTGAGATCCCTGTCGCGCAAAAACATAACACTTTCGCAGTCAAAGGGATAAGATGGGACGATCGAATCTGTGCTCCTGGGGTCAGTACTCCTGTCCTGGCATCAGCGGTCCTGGCATCGGTACCCCTGGCACCAGTGCTCCTGGGACCTTCGGACTCAATTCTGGATGCGTGATCCTGCGATCTGTGCTTCTGGGACTTTCGAACTCCGATTCTAGATGTGTGATCCTGCGTACTGATGCCAGGAGTATTGCGCGTGCCAAAATGGATTCTTATTGCACGCTGCTTTTCTCGCCTGTACTACGAAAAGAGAACAAGCCTTCGGCCCTTGCAATTCAGTTTTGGCCGACCCCGTCGGTGACAACAGCCAATCAAGTATCGTAACGAGGCACGTGACCCACCAGGAAGCCTTCGATGGAAGAATAGTTCGTCCGTTGGACATTGGCACCTAACCGGTTAGGAGGCACCTCAGAGTGTCAACGCTGCCCGTTGGACGAGCTCTTGTAGCCCCTCGTTTAGTCTTCCACCTGAGCGTTGACTTCAGTCAGCTCCATGGTTAGAGTGTCCCCCCTGAGTAGCGCCCGTACAGCATTCATGAAAACAATGCCTGCATACCAAAACAGTCCACATCAGAAGCCCCCGCCGAGATTAGTATTCTTTCGACTGCCTCATGACATCTATAAACAGCAACCTGCAGTGCAGTGCTACCACATTTATCGCTGGTTTCAACATCAACACCTTTTTCAAGCAATAGGTGGACGACATTTTTGTGGCCCTTCCAAGCAGCCCCCCATAGCGGTGTCGCACCGTCATTATCAGCGGCCTCAACATTGGCGCCCTTATCCAGGAGCAGCTGGACGACAGCTTCGTGGTCATTCCAAGCAGCCCTACATAGTGGTGTTTCGCCGTCATTATCAGCGGCTTCAATATTAGCACCCTTATCAAGGAGTAGCTGAACGACATTTTTGTGGCCTTTCCAAGCAGCCCCCCATAGCGGTGTCGCACCGTCGTCATCAGCGGCCTCAATGTTGGCTCCGTTGTCTAATAGGAGCTGCACAATCTCGAGGTGTCCTCCTTCAGAAGCTGCCTGTAGAGCATCGCCATAAACTCCACCCCGAGCGTTGACTTCAGCTCCGTTGTCTAACAGGAGCTGTACAATCTCGAGGTGTCCTCCATCAGAAGCTGCCTGTAGAGCATCGCCATATTCAACACGGGCGTTGACGTCGGCCCCCATGTCTAACAGGAGCTGCACAATATCGAAGTGTCCCCTTTGAGAAGCGGCCTGTAGAGCATTGCCATATTCTCCATCCTGAGCGTTGATGTCGGCTCCGTTGTCTAACAGAAGCTGCGCAATCTCGATGTGTTTTTCTATAGAAGCGGCGCGTGAAGAACTGCCACAACTTACATCCTGAGCGTTGACGTCGGCTCCATTGTCTAGTAGGACCTCCACAATATCGAGGTGTCCCCTTTGAGAAGTGGCCTGTAGAGCATTACCATGATCTCCACCTTGAACGTTGACGTCGGCTCCTCTGTCTAACAGAAGCTGCACAATCTCGAGGTGTTCGCCTTCAGAAGCGGCCCGTAGGGCACTGCCATATGCTCTACCCTGAACGTTGACGTCGGCTCCTTTGTCTAACAGGAGCTGCACAATCTCGAGGTGCCCTTGATAAGAAGCTTTGACTAAAGAACTGCCATAGTGAGCATTGACCTCGGCTCCGTTACCTAACAGAAGCTGCACGATCTCGGCGTGTCCCCCGCAAGAAGCGGCCTGTAGAGCACTGCCATATTCTCCACCCTGAACGTTGACGCCGGCTCCTTTGTCTAACAGAAGCTGCACAATCTTGAAATGTCCTTCTTCAGAAGCGGCCTGTAAAGAACTGCCATAACTTACATCCTGAGTGTTGACATCGGCTCCATTGTCTAACAAGAGCTGCACGATCTCGAGGTGTCCCTGATCAGAAGCTGCGAGTAGAGAACTGCGGTATTCTCCATCTTTGTCTGCCAGAAGCCGCGCGATCTTGAGGAGTCCTTCTTCAGAATTGCAATAACTTACAGCCTGAGCGTTGACGTCAGCTCCATTGTCTAACAGGAGCTGCACGATCTCGAGGTGTCCTTTTTCAGAAGCTGCGAGTAGAGAACTGCGGTATTCTCCATCCCGAGCGTTGACGTCGGCTCCATTGTCTAATAGGAGCTGCACAATCTCGAGGTGTCCTTCTTTAGAGGCTGCCTGTAGAGCACTGCCATAATATCCATGTTGAGCGTTGACGTCGGCTTTGTTGTCTAATAAGAGCTGCACAACCTCGACGTGTCCTCCTTCAGAAGCAGCATAAATAGCTGTGCTATAACGTCGGCCCTGAGCGTTGATGTCGGCTCCATTGTCTAACAGGAGCTTCACAATCTCGAGGTGTCCTCCTTCAGAAGCTGCCTGTAGAGAACTGCGACATTCTTCATCCTGAGCGTTGACTTCAGCTCCGTTGTCTAACAGGAGCTGTACAATCTCGAGGTGTCCTCCTTGAGAAGCGACCTGTAGAGCATTGCCATAGTCTCCACCCTGAGTGTTGATGCAAGCTCCCTTGTCTAACAGGAGCTGCACAATCTCAAGGTGTCCCGCGTGAGAAGATGCTTGTAGAGCATTGCCATGTTCTCCACCCTCAGCGTTGACGTCGGCTCCCTTGTCTAATAGGAGCCGCACAGTCCCGAGGTGTCCCCCTTGAGAAGCGGCCTGTAGAGCATTGCCATATTCTCCACCCTGAGCGTTGACTTCGGCTCCGTTGTCTAACAAGACCAGCACAATCTCAAGGTGACCTTCTTCAGAAGCTGCCTGTAGAGCATTGCCAGCTGACTGTAAACCACCGTTCTGTTCAGTCATGCCAAATTCTTCACTCTGAGCGTTGACGTTGGCTTCGTTCTCTAATAGGAGTTGTACAATCTCAAGGTGACCTTTTTTAGAAGCTGCCTGTAGAGCATTGCCATGATTTCCACCTTGAGCGTTGACGTCGGCTCCCCTGTCTAAGAGGATCTGCACAATCTCGAGGTGACCCCTTTCAGAAGCCCAATGCAACGCTCTCGTCCCGTTCTCATCTGGTTGATGGATCGTGCTTTCATTCCTTATGATCAGTCTTCGGAATACATTCTTATGCCCGTTGAAAGCAGCGAGACGGATGGCATTCATCTTAGGCCTGCCACTGTATGACATCACTGCTGTCCAGAATAGGGGATACCAGAGCGCAAATCGTGCGCTGGTGACATCGTAAAGTTGATTCAGCCCAGCCTCTACCTTTGACCCTGCTAGTGGAGGCATTCCTCGGACATGATCGGGCCAATACTCCGCGGAATACTCCAGGAAAGCTGCACTGTTCACACCGTTTTGTAGTGGATTGCCATCCATGTCATCCAGTAACAAATAATTGATGCAGATCTCTGACATTAATTCCTCAGTGTCAACCTGTTGGAACACCCACTCGCGGCTGTCATTTCGCATGGCGCTGTTGATCAGAAATTCTCTCGCTGTCTGGTGGATCAAGTAAACCCTTGTGTTGTTGACAAAAACGAATAGCCCACATAGCTGACGGATCTTCTTATCCAATCCTTTCGGGTTCAGCATAGCTTTGGCCGCGGTTCGCGAGCTCGGTGACTTAGCTACCCCTAAAGCCATCGCCATTTCCTTGATCGTTAACGGACGCCGCGCACCAACAATGATCTTCAGGATCATTTTTACATCTGAGAATTTGTCGGATGGTACTCGGTTTAAGATTTTCTCATATGCGGCCGTGACCGAGCCAGGAACCAATTGAATGGATTCTTCCTCGGGTTGAAGGCTATTCCGAAACATGGTGCGGATATCATCTATAGCCAAATATAACCAGAGGTAGGTGCGATGCTCCATCCTGAGAAGTTGCTGTTCCAGCCGTTGCTGAGTCTCTGGTGTCAGGTGCAGACTCTCGCCGAGCTCGGCTACCCGCATCTTCACAACAAGGCTGATTTCTTCATGAATCCGTTCATTCTCCTCCTCCCCACGGACGTGGATATGAGGAAACAATTGCGTAGCTGGACGGAAGCCCTCCTGGATCTCGTCATATGGACGGCTAGTCACGAGGAACTTCAGCCAGCTTTGTCGGGTTGATGAATTGGTTTGAGTATAGAACCTTTCTAGCTTCTCTATTAATTGGGCTCGGTCACTTGGTCGACATTCATCCAGCGCGTCGAAAATGCAGACGGTGTTAAGGAATGCGGAATCCGACATTGCTGCCACGAGGATGCGCCAAAGTTCGTCCACCTCTTGTTGAATCTTCGTGCCGTTCCTTTGCCAAGATGGCAAGGCATGTCGTAGGAGATACGGCTGCATTCCAAATAGTTGATGGAGCACAGCACACAGTGCTGTGGCAAGATTGTTTTGTTCCTCATTGTCTTTGAAGAAGAAGTAGCAAACGGAAACCGAGCTAGATGTGTTCAGATCAACGTCAATAAGGGATTTTGCGAGAACCGATTTTCCGCATCCCGGATCGGCCGATATCCACAAAAGATCATTATGGCTACTGCTCCACCAATCGAGGTATTGGGAGTTCTCAAGAATCCATCGACACGTCCCGTCTGCGCGGCCTGGATTGATGTTCTTATACTGCTCGTAGGGAGAGGTTTTGAACGCTTGGTGACACTCTTGTTGCTCTTTGGTTAGTGCCCTTACCATCTTTTCACGGTGATGGTCTTCTCGCTGGTGAAACGCTCTTTGCATGCCCTTGTTGACCTCCTTGACTTCGTCGACAATTTCGCCTACAGGAAGAAGAATCAATATTTCTGACGCCACAGAGAATCATGCGTCAGAAGCACGAAACGGAGGTCGTGAGAGCTTCTTACATACTGCAGACATCTGTGACCAGCTTCTCTTGAGATACGTGGGCGACAGGCACATAGCCGAGCAACTCTTTCGCATACGATGCCGCGGCCAATGCCGCGTATCCGTGCCACTGCTCGTTCTTGTGTGAGTCGGCATAATCACAGACCCCCCGGATGGCTATGCAAGGAAAATCCATCATCAGACCAGCCGCCTCCATTTCGAAACACAATACTCCAATCTCCTGGCGAAGCCGTTCCCTCGTCGCTCCGTGTTTCATAACCTTATTTCCCGAGGCAATGATGCCGTAGTGTATCTGAGGATCTGGTTCTTCGCGTGCATTTCTCATTTCTTCCCATTCCGACGGACAAGCCGCGCACGTTGCGGCCGTCGCGGGATGCTCGTGCTCAACATGGAACAGTCGGTCTGTGGACGCATCCGGTCGACCAAAAGTTTTCCGTGTCCGTGCATTTCTTCGGATCGCCTTTTCGATGTATTCTGGATGGCTCGGATCATCGGTTAACGCAGCTGCTCTCATGTTCACAACTGCGGTCAGCAGTGATCGGGGAGGGCTATTCAATGACCCGGTTCGCTGGAGCGTGCCATCTTCCACAACCTTTCCGATATCATATTGAAGAACCCCACCGCATGTGCCTTCCGGGTAGCTGACCACGATGTCGCCCAGCCGTATATCATGGTTGGCAGATGGAATCCCTGCTCCAATGCCAACCATCAGCCCGATCCGTAACGACCGGGAAAAGGTTCTCGTCATGTTGATTGCCACCGTCGTGGCTGAAGTGGTGCCGTACTGCGGAAGCCCAGCAATTACGACGTTGTGTTTGCCAATCTGTCCCAAGGTGTATGAATTCGTGTCTGTGCTGTCTTGCTCCTCGAGCACGCCGAAATTCACATCCAGCATCTCCTTGGCTGCGGCGACCTCAACCGGCAAGGCACAGATCCAACCAACCTGGAATGCCTCCCGTGCTGGAGACGGCATGGTGCTGATCTTTCACGACATCTGCGACTTGCAACGGGTTTTGCTGTCTCAAGCCTTCAGCTCTGATCCGAGAGATGCTTTGGAAAGGATGTGGTGGCTTCCACACGAACAGAAGGCAGCCGCCAGAGTGGATGGAATCCGAGCAAGAAACGGGCCATCAGCGAGAGAACATTGAGGGGAGGTGGGCATATGGCGTTACTCGAGAGAGTGTATGTAACTCAGCCTTGACAGCCTCACGCGACGAGATGGCCATGGCAGCGAGGCGGTAAGGTTGCGCACATGATTGGCAGCTTGTGCCGTGACACCAAAAGTGATCATTCAACACGGCTACATAATATCGGCGTAAGCTCTGCAGAGTAGTGATCTGGGTCTGAGAAAAGTAGGCTGCGGTATGGGCCACCGGAATGAGCCGCTTAGCCGGACCTTTTAATGCCCCCCCTAATGGTTGTTGCCAGGGCCATTCTCACCCAGTAAATGTCATGTCATGCGGAACACCGCATCAGAGTGCCCCCTGCAACACCAATGAACTCTGAACCGTTCGTCGTAGAACATTTCATGCGCATCGGCCCGCAACGGCAGCTCTTGTAGCGTCCAAGTACCCGCTCTTCAGAAGCCTGGGAGTCGCGCGGGGTCGAGTTTTCGGCGGCTGTGCCCCAGTAGATACCCGTTAACGAGCAAAGCTAAAAACTGATCAACAGCGTCTCCATCCACCTCGTCGACCGAGACGGTGCATGGCGCCGACGCGTTGCGATACGACCACGATCGCGACCAGTTCCTGCCACTCTGGCCTGCAGACCTTACAAGCTTTGTTATCTTTATCATGCAAAAGACCATCGTATAGCGCGGCATCTCAAGGGACTTGGTGAACGATCGCTACAACAACTCTAACAGATACAGAGTTTAACGACACCTGCAATGAGAGCCATAGAAATCTCTCTATTCCTCGAGAATCGAGGACCTCCGCACATTCCCAGAAGGGTCCGCCCGTCACCGGCGTCGCATTCGTCCGCCATTCTGCTTCGTCCATGACTCCAGCATCCAGTGAAGCGACCAACCATGCCGAGGAGACAAGTCAAGTTTCTGCACTTGCAGGACGACACTTCGAGGCCAAAAGTCCATCTAAATTGCGCCTATTGCTGCCACAGGTTTGGTGGGTGTCTGGCCTGTTCCCTGTTGTTCCTGGAGTGAGGGGCTGGGGCTAGCATGTACATTCTGAGGACAAGTGGAGTGTGCCCAAGGTCTATAGTTACTCCCTATACTGATTTGCACGGGTACATGAGAATGAATGCCAAGTTTGTCACTAGTGCCTCTGCTTATTTCTAGACTGCCGCTTCTCTGTGTTCGACGAGCATTGCACACAGTGCCTGCAGAGTCGGGACTGGTGGCAGCGGGCATCGCCGCGAGATGGACGCGAGCCCAACCACTACTTTCGCGCCAGTGCGACACGCTGTCCAGCGCGTTAGGTAGAAACACCCGCGTCACTTTGCTCTAAAGTGGCAGAAGATATCTAATTTACGGTGCGACTCCTTGCTATGTCTTCACTCTTAAGCAGTTATCGAGATTCTGCCGACTTCTTCGCGTAGACAGATGTTCCTTGCCTAGCACCTTCTCAAAAAGCTGAAGTGCCTGCCAATGCATCTGCTCGGCATCCTCATTCTTCCCCAGATTCGAGGGCACAAGTGCGAGGTTGTTTATGCTGCCAAGTGTGGACGGATTCTCTTTTCTCTGTTAATTTACATTCCTGCCGATTTATATGCTCAGCCTCCTGATACTTCCCTAGATTGAAGAACACACTTGCGAGGTTGTTCATGCTGTGAAGTGTGTCCGGATGCTCTTCGCCGAGCACCTTCTCACGAAGCTGGGGTGTCTGCCGATATACCTGCTCTGCCTTCTGATATTGTCCTAGTAAAGAATGACTTGCGGCTACATTATGCAAATGGCGAGCCTCTACCTCCCCACCCTGGGGGTCCTGATGAAACTCCAGCGCAGCTTGTGCGTGTGGTAGATATTTCATCCCCATGTCCCTGTTATCATGCCTCGGAAACGGGAATACTTGATCCAGCTGCTGAATCACAGACGATACACAACTCTCCAATTCCTCGCCCTCTGGCCAGTTTCGCATCGCTAGTCGAACAAGCCGGTGCATATCGATCGAATCTTGTCCCTCCCGCAGGGTAATAAATACGTAGGCTCTGAGCACGCCAATCGCGTCGTCCATTTCTAACTCACTTTCTGCTGGTGGCAGCAAGGATAGAGGGACGTCTTTCTCCCCAAGGAAGCATAGATACTTCAGATATTGGGCAGCAAGTGGTTTATCCCGTCAGATATGTTCAAAAGATATTAGCCAAGTCGTGGCGACTGGGTTCTTGATAGTCTTGTAGCGGCCCTGGTCCTCGAAGTCTCTGCTAAGTAGCCTGATCATATTTTTATCGCTGGACCGATAATGATAGAGATATCTTGCCGTTGTTATTCCCGTCTCGGTCATGTAAGCCGATGCCTGCTTGATGGCCAGCGGCAAGTCGGCCAGGATGTCAAGGAGCTCCATGGTGCTTGCAATGTCACTAGGTCAAGTTCGTCTGCAATAGCTTCGTGGCCTCAGCTCTGTTCATCTCCGCTATTGGGAGGATGCCACATTTCGGGATGTTTAGCTTCACTGCGACCGTACGATTCCGCGCTGTAAACAGAATCGAGCCGTTTCGACTAAATGGCAGATAGTCTGACAGCCTGGTGACGCCAAAGAACAACGCTGTATCATCGGCATTATCAACGACCAGGAGCCAGCTGCTACTGCTTTTATCGCTTAGGGCAGTTTTAACAAGCCGCTTAACGTCAGCTTTGTCTTCGTCAATACCCGGAATATTTATCTGTTTGCCAATATCGCGGTAAGCGTTTTCAAAGCTGCTTGTTGTGTCCACGGCCGGAACCCAGAAAATGGGGCAGTCCGGATGCTCGTCATGACCACGGGAGACGGCCTCTATCGCGATCTGCGTCTGGCCAACCCGAGGCCTTCGACGACGGTTCTTTGACAATTATCCTTATTCGTGCCAGGCCAGATTCTTTCCAGACGCTTTGATAAAATTGTTTCCCTTCCAACGAAGCTCTGGTTTCGTCCAAATGGGACTAAAAAATGGCCCACTAGTGTCACGTTATGAGACTCATGTTAACTAAGCTTCTTGATAAAATCATTATTCTTGTTCGTTGTCGAGCTGCAGACTCCGTCTGCAGCCCTTTGCTTAATACCCAAAAACTTCCTTTCGTCCGAATTAAACTTTCGGCTAAATTTAGTCATGATAGCCGACGCTATGACATCCAGCCATCACTCCAAGCTCTGCGACTTTAGTCTACAGAGGCATTATCCGACACGACTACAAGTCCACAGATGACCCCTCATTTCCTGTCTCGGCTCCTGACTTAGTGAGTTAGCAAACCTTTTCTTGTCTCCTACCCTATACTCACAATCTTCAAACGAGACAATATATCCGCCAGTAATTAGAAAGACTGCATTGCGCTATCACAACAAGAATTTGGGGATGGAAGCTGTTGGCTCTGACGGGAATGGAACTAAATCTTGCGAAGTTGTTACATAGGTTCGACTAGTTAAAATGATGAGCTCTGCAGTTTCATGTACGAATGTTGCACCGCGCCACGTAAAACTGTCAGCGCCAGCCTCACTCAGGCTAGAGAACGAAGGCGGGCCTTGCACCCTTGATCTGGCAATATTTTACGCTGTCAAGGTCTGAACGTCGTCTTCCATGACTCTGGGCTTGAATGCCTTCCCCATAACCTACTTGGAAGAGCACTCGACCTTGAAAACTTGGCCTGCCGCTGTGGTATTTCTGGAGCCTTCCAAGACCGAATGATGGCGGCAATCAACGCCCCACTTGGAAGTACCGCTAACCCTATCCTGATATAGCGTGCCATGCCCACACACAGGATGACGTGTACAGGCAAATAGCTAGGCTCGGGCCGGATGGCGCGGCGCCACAAATCTCTCCTAAATAATTAAATTCCGCGAAGTTGTTACATAAGTTCGATGATGGACCATGCAGTCTCATGTACTACAGTGTGTAATGTACCTAGCAGGTCCCATGCATAACACCAGTTTGGATTGTTTGGTTGCAATGGTGTGGGACCCAAGAAGAGCCAAAATCTCAGCATCAAACGTCATACTGGAAGACAATTCGGTGCAGGAGCAGAGATCAATTGTTTAATCCATTGGTCTCAGTGTCGTGACTAAGGCACAGGCGAGCACCTATCACTTGAATGTGGCGCCTACGCCTCAAAGGATGAGCCACAAAAAGCGCGGGGAATTTCTCGACCGGTCGGAGCCCCCTGTCCTTGGCCACAACTCCAGCGTCTTGGCCCTTGCGCGCCGAGTTACTGCAGAACACACTGAACACGGGAGACTAGAAATACATCATCCAAATTGGGAGGGCAAGAGGCAATATTGTAAGAGTGAATTGATAGCTGGATTCCTTTACTATAACACTACAACACAGAAAACTCGACACCCCCAAAAAATAGGAGTGATCACATTACAGAAAGCTGGTGATGTTGTTTCGACATCAGCGAAAGCAATGGCGTGTAACCGAAAACGAGCGAGCGATGTCGACACCCGAATGTACCCTGAATTATTTTGGTGCAGGAGCAGATGCGGAAGTCTTCATAAACTCCTCGAACATGTCTGCCAGCACGCTCACTGTTTTATTCAAGCTGCTTACCGTGTCAGCCAGGTCGTGCACCTTCGACTCCAGATCTTGAACCTGTTGATCTCTTTCAACGTCACTGATCGATCGACGGGAATGTGCACTTGAACTCCGTCGGCGATCTGAGCGACTGAGCACGGCCAACTCGTCTGCTTGGGCGTCCTTCATAGCCCTACGTCTTGTCGGGTCCTTTTCGACCTTGGCGGGGTCATTGTAGTAGCTCACCCACCCTGCCTTCCACGGCGCAGGTATGCCGTCTCGCTCACAGACCTTCTCAATTTTCGCCCTTGCGCTCGCGGGTCCGAGGACCTTGTTCAGACTGGATACAGTGAGTATATGCATCCCTTTCTTTTGAAACTCTACGCAGCAGTCGGTTGGAGGATCCTTCTTGTTTGCAGCCACGTTTTTGAGTTGAATCTGGGACTTCGTGACCCAAAGTAGCTCCTTGAAGTCACTTCGGGCCCTGTCGGACCACTTTGACTGGCCGTCGGCTAGGTTCTTATGGCCAGCCATACTCTTGTAGTGCTCCACTTCAAGCAGCCCAACATTCGAGGCCGACACGAGTCTGCGCACTAGCCGACCATCTTCTTTAGTAGTTTCTATGCATACCTGGGTTCCCCATTTCCCCTGCTGTCTCACTCCTATGATGAGAGACCCATCAGCGGCCTTAGCGGTGGGCCACGGGTAGTCAATGCGATTCGCATTGGCAGGCACAGGCTTTGCTTTGAGAAAATCGTCCGCCACGTCAAAACTCCATTCTTCAGGAAGATGGTGCTTCGTAACATATTCGTCTATGAGGACTTTCTCTGTCACCAAATTCTTTCTCGCGACCTCGTTCTTTGGATCCTGAAGAAGAACATGATAACTCTCCAGAGCTATTTTGTAATGTGGTCCGAAGAAGCTTACGGGGATCAGCCACCGGTATTTTGGGATTTTCTCACTCTTGTCTGTTGCATATTTATTGTGAGCTTTATTCCCGGCACTAATTCTGTGGTTAAGGCCATTCAGTTGGTCAAGCAAGCCTTTATCACTAGGATTATGCCCAAGCTCGTAAAGAAGAGGTGTCGCTTCTCGATAAATATCCTGCACTCGAGCAGGAGGCTTGGGGACTTCGTCCTCTGCCATGGTTACATCGCCTTGCGCGTCTTTACCGTTGTCATCGTCATCAGATTCCGAATCTCCTGCCGGAAGGACCTCTTCACCGTCCCAAAGGGTGACCTCATCGATGAATACTTGATCTACGCCCATCTGCCGTGCCGCCCGTCGAAGTTCTGCCATCCACGTTAGTTGTAGGCCCATAGCTAACAGTTAATTCACTTACTCCTATAGGCCGCCTTGGAATCATTATGATGGCAATAATGCGGATGCAACATGCATCCAAGCCGTCTCCAAGCAGTTAAGATTTCTTCCTCCGTTGAGCTCTGGCTCACTGCCAGAATCTCAGCATAGGATTCATCAGCGCATCGCAGTACCCGTTCAATTTCCTGCTGCACATCATCCAACTTAACTTCCGTCGCATCTGTGCCGATAGCTGGCTTGGCTGGTGACGTTGGTTTTTCTACATTGTGCGTGTCTGCTGCTTTTCTGGCCAAATCTCCTGCGACCCTCGCATCTTCGACTCCAGGCGTTGGCTCTGGAGTCAGAAGCCGTCTTCTAGCCCGTGCGTCTTTCTCGGGTTCGGGACTTGGTGAACGATCGCTACAACAACTCTAACAGATACAGAGTTTAACGACACCTGCAATGAGAGCCATAGAAATCTCTCTATTCCTCGAGAATCGAGGACCTCCGCACATTCCCAGAAGGGTCCGCCCGTCACCGGCGTCGCATTCGTCCGCCATTCTGCTTCGTCCATGACTCCAGCATCCAGTGAAGCGACCAACCATGCCGAGGAGACAAGTCAAGTTTCTGCACTTGCAGGACGACACTTCGAGGCCAAAAGTCCATCTAAATTGCGCCTATTGCTGCCACAGGTTTGGTGGGTGTCTGGCCTGTTCCCTGTTGTTCCTGGAGTGAGGGGCTGGGGCTAGCATGTACATTCTGAGGACAAGTGGAGTGTGCCCAAGGTCTATAGTTACTCCCTATACTGATTTGCACGGGTACATGAGAATGAATGCCAAGTTTGTCACTAGTGCCTCTGCTTATTTCTAGACTGCCGCTTCTCTGTGTTCGACGAGCATTGCACACAGTGCCTGCAGAGTCGGGACTGGTGGCAGCGGGCATCGCCGCGAGATGGACGCGAGCCCAACCACTACTTTCGCGCCAGTGCGACACGCTGTCCAGCGCGTTAGGTAGAAACACCCGCGTCACTTTGCTCTAAAGTGGCAGAAGATATCTAATTTACGGTGCGACTCCTTGCTATGTCTTCACTCTTAAGCAGTTATCGAGATTCTGCCGACTTCTTCGCGTAGACAGATGTTCCTTGCCTAGCACCTTCTCAAAAAGCTGAAGTGCCTGCCAATGCATCTGCTCGGCATCCTCATTCTTCCCCAGATTCGAGGGCACAAGTGCGAGGTTGTTTATGCTGCCAAGTGTGGACGGATTCTCTTTTCTCTGTTAATTTACATTCCTGCCGATTTATATGCTCAGCCTCCTGATACTTCCCTAGATTGAAGAACACACTTGCGAGGTTGTTCATGCTGTGAAGTGTGTCCGGATGCTCTTCGCCGAGCACCTTCTCACGAAGCTGGGGTGTCTGCCGATATACCTGCTCTGCCTTCTGATATTGTCCTAGTAAAGAATGACTTGCGGCTACATTATGCAAATGGCGAGCCTCTACCTCCCCACCCTGGGGGTCCTGATGAAACTCCAGCGCAGCTTGTGCGTGTGGTAGATATTTCATCCCCATGTCCCTGTTATCATGCCTCGGAAACGGGAATACTTGATCCAGCTGCTGAATCACAGACGATACACAACTCTCCAATTCCTCGCCCTCTGGCCAGTTTCGCATCGCTAGTCGAACAAGCCGGTGCATATCGATCGAATCTTGTCCCTCCCGCAGGGTAATAAATACGTAGGCTCTGAGCACGCCAATCGCGTCGTCCATTTCTAACTCACTTTCTGCTGGTGGCAGCAAGGATAGAGGGACGTCTTTCTCCCCAAGGAAGCATAGATACTTCAGATATTGGGCAGCAAGTGGTTTATCCCGTCAGATATGTTCAAAAGATATTAGCCAAGTCGTGGCGACTGGGTTCTTGATAGTCTTGTAGCGGCCCTGGTCCTCGAAGTCTCTGCTAAGTAGCCTGATCATATTTTTATCGCTGGACCGATAATGATAGAGATATCTTGCCGTTGTTATTCCCGTCTCGGTCATGTAAGCCGATGCCTGCTTGATGGCCAGCGGCAAGTCGGCCAGGATGTCAAGGAGCTCCATGGTGCTTGCAATGTCACTAGGTCAAGTTCGTCTGCAATAGCTTCGTGGCCTCAGCTCTGTTCATCTCCGCTATTGGGAGGATGCCACATTTCGGGATGTTTAGCTTCACTGCGACCGTACGATTCCGCGCTGTAAACAGAATCGAGCCGTTTCGACTAAATGGCAGATAGTCTGACAGCCTGGTGACGCCAAAGAACAACGCTGTATCATCGGCATTATCAACGACCAGGAGCCAGCTGCTACTGCTTTTATCGCTTAGGGCAGTTTTAACAAGCCGCTTAACGTCAGCTTTGTCTTCGTCAATACCCGGAATATTTATCTGTTTGCCAATATCGCGGTAAGCGTTTTCAAAGCTGCTTGTTGTGTCCACGGCCGGAACCCAGAAAATGGGGCAGTCCGGATGCTCGTCATGACCACGGGAGACGGCCTCTATCGCGATCTGCGTCTGGCCAACCCGAGGCCTTCGACGACGGTTCTTTGACAATTATCCTTATTCGTGCCAGGCCAGATTCTTTCCAGACGCTTTGATAAAATTGTTTCCCTTCCAACGAAGCTCTGGTTTCGTCCAAATGGGACTAAAAAATGGCCCACTAGTGTCACGTTATGAGACTCATGTTAACTAAGCTTCTTGATAAAATCATTATTCTTGTTCGTTGTCGAGCTGCAGACTCCGTCTGCAGCCCTTTGCTTAATACCCAAAAACTTCCTTTCGTCCGAATTAAACTTTCGGCTAAATTTAGTCATGATAGCCGACGCTATGACATCCAGCCATCACTCCAAGCTCTGCGACTTTAGTCTACAGAGGCATTATCCGACACGACTACAAGTCCACAGATGACCCCTCATTTCCTGTCTCGGCTCCTGACTTAGTGAGTTAGCAAACCTTTTCTTGTCTCCTACCCTATACTCACAATCTTCAAACGAGACAATATATCCGCCAGTAATTAGAAAGACTGCATTGCGCTATCACAACAAGAATTTGGGGATGGAAGCTGTTGGCTCTGACGGGAATGGAACTAAATCTTGCGAAGTTGTTACATAGGTTCGACTAGTTAAAATGATGAGCTCTGCAGTTTCATGTACGAATGTTGCACCGCGCCACGTAAAACTGTCAGCGCCAGCCTCACTCAGGCTAGAGAACGAAGGCGGGCCTTGCACCCTTGATCTGGCAATATTTTACGCTGTCAAGGTCTGAACGTCGTCTTCCATGACTCTGGGCTTGAATGCCTTCCCCATAACCTACTTGGAAGAGCACTCGACCTTGAAAACTTGGCCTGCCGCTGTGGTATTTCTGGAGCCTTCCAAGACCGAATGATGGCGGCAATCAACGCCCCACTTGGAAGTACCGCTAACCCTATCCTGATATAGCGTGCCATGCCCACACACAGGATGACGTGTACAGGCAAATAGCTAGGCTCGGGCCGGATGGCGCGGCGCCACAAATCTCTCCTAAATAATTAAATTCCGCGAAGTTGTTACATAAGTTCGATGATGGACCATGCAGTCTCATGTACTACAGTGTGTAATGTACCTAGCAGGTCCCATGCATAACACCAGTTTGGATTGTTTGGTTGCAATGGTGTGGGACCCAAGAAGAGCCAAAATCTCAGCATCAAACGTCATACTGGAAGACAATTCGGTGCAGGAGCAGAGATCAATTGTTTAATCCATTGGTCTCAGTGTCGTGACTAAGGCACAGGCGAGCACCTATCACTTGAATGTGGCGCCTACGCCTCAAAGGATGAGCCACAAAAAGCGCGGGGAATTTCTCGACCGGTCGGAGCCCCCTGTCCTTGGCCACAACTCCAGCGTCTTGGCCCTTGCGCGCCGAGTTACTGCAGAACACACTGAACACGGGAGACTAGAAATACATCATCCAAATTGGGAGGGCAAGAGGCAATATTGTAAGAGTGAATTGATAGCTGGATTCCTTTACTATAACACTACAACACAGAAAACTCGACACCCCCAAAAAATAGGAGTGATCACATTACAGAAAGCTGGTGATGTTGTTTCGACATCAGCGAAAGCAATGGCGTGTAACCGAAAACGAGCGAGCGATGTCGACACCCGAATGTACCCTGAATTATTTTGGTGCAGGAGCAGATGCGGAAGTCTTCATAAACTCCTCGAACATGTCTGCCAGCACGCTCACTGTTTTATTCAAGCTGCTTACCGTGTCAGCCAGGTCGTGCACCTTCGACTCCAGATCTTGAACCTGTTGATCTCTTTCAACGTCACTGATCGATCGACGGGAATGTGCACTTGAACTCCGTCGGCGATCTGAGCGACTGAGCACGGCCAACTCGTCTGCTTGGGCGTCCTTCATAGCCCTACGTCTTGTCGGGTCCTTTTCGACCTTGGCGGGGTCATTGTAGTAGCTCACCCACCCTGCCTTCCACGGCGCAGGTATGCCGTCTCGCTCACAGACCTTCTCAATTTTCGCCCTTGCGCTCGCGGGTCCGAGGACCTTGTTCAGACTGGATACAGTGAGTATATGCATCCCTTTCTTTTGAAACTCTACGCAGCAGTCGGTTGGAGGATCCTTCTTGTTTGCAGCCACGTTTTTGAGTTGAATCTGGGACTTCGTGACCCAAAGTAGCTCCTTGAAGTCACTTCGGGCCCTGTCGGACCACTTTGACTGGCCGTCGGCTAGGTTCTTATGGCCAGCCATACTCTTGTAGTGCTCCACTTCAAGCAGCCCAACATTCGAGGCCGACACGAGTCTGCGCACTAGCCGACCATCTTCTTTAGTAGTTTCTATGCATACCTGGGTTCCCCATTTCCCCTGCTGTCTCACTCCTATAATGAGAGACCCATCAGCGGCCTTAGCGGTGGGCCACGGGTAGTCAATGCGATTCGCATTGGCAGGCACAGGCTTTGCTTTGAGAAAATCGTCCGCCACGTCAAAACTCCATTCTTCAGGAAGATGGTGCTTCGTAACATATTCGTCTATGAGGACTTTCTCTGTCACCAAATTCTTTCTCGCGACCTCGTTCTTTGGATCCTGAAGAAGAACATGATAACTCTCCAGAGCTATTTTGTAATGTGGTCCGAAGAAGCTTACGGGGATCAGCCACCGGTATTTTGGGATTTTCTCACTCTTGTCTGTTGCATATTTATTGTGAGCTTTATTCCCGGCACTAATTCTGTGGTTAAGGCCATTCAGTTGGTCAAGCAAGCCTTTATCACTAGGATTATGCCCAAGCTCGTAAAGAAGAGGTGTCGCTTCTCGATAAATATCCTGCACTCGAGCAGGAGGCCTGGGGACTTCGTCCTCTGCCATGGTTACATCGCCTTGCGCGTCTTTACCGTTGTCATCGTCATCAGATTCCGAATCTCCTGCCGGAAGGACCTCTTCACCGTCCCAAAGGGTGACCTCATCGATGAATACTTGATCTACGCCCATCTGCCGTGCCGCCCGTCGAAGTTCTGCCATCCACGTTAGTTGTAGGCCCATAGCTAACAGTTAATTCACTTACTCCTATAGGCCGCCTTGGAATCATTATGATGGCAATAATGCGGATGCAACATGCATCCAAGCCGTCTCCAAGCAGTTAAGATTTCTTCCTCCGTTGAGCTCTGGCTCACTGCCAGAATCTCAGCATAGGATTCATCAGCGCATCGCAGTACCCGTTCAATTTCCTGCTGCACATCATCCAACTTAACTTCCGTCGCATCTGTGCCGATAGCTGGCTTGGCTGGTGACGTTGGTTTTTCTACATTGTGCGTGTCTGCTGCTTTTCTGGCCAAATCTCCTGCGACCCTCGCATCTTCGACTCCAGGCGTTGGCTCTGGAGTCAGAAGCCGTCCTCTAGCCCGTGCGTCTTTTTCGGTATCATTATGCGCAGTAACAGAAGTTTTCAATGCAGCAGTTGAAGCCATGGTGATTTGAAGGATGCAAAGGATGACAGGACAGTGCAAGTGATGCTAGGCTAGATATAAATACTCACGCTGGACAGCGAGATCCGTGGGAGAGTTTGAAAACAGGCCAACACATGACTTGAATGTCTACAAAGGGGAATTATGCACATTGTGGCATAAGCCAGCATCGGGTTTGGAGGTCACTAAATTCGCCTTACCTAAACGGAGTCGTCAATAAACCGAATAGTGTGGTACACTTTCTCCTTTCAAAGGTGACTGGGTTTAAGATTCCAATAGCTACTGGTCGCTTTTGTGACAATCGCTTCAGCCATTTAAGTATTAATACTGAAGTATTAGCGTTCTCAGCTTGTTAACCCGACCCCCAATTCATATGTCCTGGACACTAATTGCTGTGTGTCAGACAATACTGTACAAGGGAGACGAATTGCTCCGCAAGCAGAGCGTTCTTTTTGTGTGACACTGTGCGGTTCGAGTCAGCTCGTCGGGCCGGACTAGAAGCAGCAGGTCTTGACGCCCAGCACATTTAGCCAGAACAAACCCGGGCGGGCCCCAATACCACTGGGCTAAATCTCCGCACTGCACGGCTTGATAATCGGGAGAGCATTGAGGGTGCGGGTAAGAGCAACGCCGTTTGGAAAAACCAGTGTGTCTTGGCAAATTTGCACTAACAAGGTACAAAGAGTATTAATAAATCTACAAGAGAACCTGCGTCTTTGGCCATTCCGTCCGGCCAGGCATTCAATGAAACTTAAAAGAGTCTCAAGGCATTCGTTGTACGTTGGATACATTTGTGACCGACGCAACACATATGCTTTTTAATTAATAGCCATTCTTGGAAGCTGTTGCTCGACATATTGCCTTGTGCTCTCTGTAATGAGCAACTTGACACGTCCGCCCGCAATACATAACCGATTTGCACCTCCCGCACAACATCAACTGCACAGAAATCTTTTCGCAATTCGCGCACCGCCCCTGTGCCGATAGCGAAACCCTGCCATTCCTATTACCGCTCTCCACCGCCGCTAACAAATCCTCCGCCTTCTTTCTCGCCAATCTCAACACCCGCTGTTCGCCCAAGCTAACGTGCGCCGCCGCCCATGCGTTTCCTCCCGAAGAATAGACGCCCTCCTTGAGCTGTTCTTCTAGCTTTTCCACGTGAGTTCCGAAATTGTTCAGAAGACCACCTATCGATTCTACCAAAAACCGCAGGACTTCCACTTCGTTCGAGTCGCTGATTTTGGCATCCGTAGTATTAGTTTGCTGAAGTGCTAAGACAGCGACGTCTGATTCGTCCAATCGCTGAACACGGAGGTATCGAAGGACATCTTTCGGTAGCGGATCGGTGAAAGTGAGGGTGATGGTAGTGGTAGAATCGAGTCCAGCCGAGGCCCAAAGCTTCTGCTTTTGCTTAAAGAAAGGAGCCATAGGATGCGTTGCAAGAACGAGATCATAGCTGTCATTAGGGTTACCGGGTACGACAAAGCCATAGAGACGTAAAAGCCGATTATTTGGCATAGGCCCATAATTAATAAAAACCTGAAAGAATAGTCCCAAGTAAGCACATGGGTTGGTACCATCAGACAACAAGGCGGACATACCTGATCCCCGGCTTCGTAGTCTTTTCCGGCAAGGACGGACAAGTTTCCAGACGAGGCATCGTAGACATGACACTGCTTAGCCTCGGACGAGTGATTCAACATATCCGCGAAGGGCGCCAAAAGTCGAATCGACTTTCCATCAGGCAGCACAAAATCCATCGCACGACTCCATACGGTGCAAAGAGCCCACTTGTACTAAAAAGTAGGGAAAGAAGCGTTAGTAGTTGATTAGTAATACCTATCACATGCGCAAATTACCTACATCTTCGACGGTGAATTTGTCCAGTGGAAAAAGATCTGGATACTGTCCAAGCATTCGCACGACTAATCCCCTGTAATCATCCTCGATACGTTGCTCCAGCTGCTTTGTGATGGTGTACAGTGAAGTCCCAGCGCAAACTTCTAACTGGTCCTCCATAAAGAAGATACTTGAAGAGTAGCTCGCAGGTAACGCCGCCACGTGGTTTCGAGGGCCATCGTATCCCGATTTGCGCGATCGGACAAAGAGAATATAAATAGCCAACGTGTCTTCGACAGACAGGGGTAGACTTGTTGAGCGAAGGACTGGCCCAAGAATGGAATCAGCATATGCATGCTCGACTGTCCAGAGAATGCCACTTGGAATGGTGAGAATATTTTCTCCTTCCTTGAAACACTTCAGTGTTCTGACACCACGCCCGGTGATTGGGAAATCGGCAAGCTCCAGGTTGTCCAAGCCCACCGCTCCGGATTCTTTTAGCCAGCTTTCCATGGAATCGGATCTGAGGGGGAGAAACTGCAAATTCGTATCTATTACCAGATGACGATGTTGGGCTTTTCGTGGTGGGGTCCAAGCTTTTCAGTTGAGGCCGCGAACCTTAGGGCCATAGGTCAGATTACATAAGTACACTTCTTTCGGATCGGGTGTGGCTGAGCTTGCCCGAAGCCATATGGGGTGGGTGGCTCGCGGTCCACACATGCCCTGGCCTGCAAATCTCCCAGAAACGCATTTCACCAACACCAAGAATTCAGAAGGAAATGCCAAATAACCTCGTTCAACCTTAAATCCTCTTAGGACCTCTTAGAACAATGTTCAAAGGACAGCTCTAGTAGCCGCTCGCCAACACATGGAGGCTCTTATTATAAGCAGAATTGTGGGTGATTACTAAGTGCCAAGTCTCATCTATTGTCTTATTGGGCTGTGACCACACAAGTTTCCGGCAGCCCCTCTTTACCGAACAATGTCCTGAAATAAACCCGCACTTTTGGTTTCCTGGATCAGTCAACCACGCCTACGGATCAAGTGCTCCCAAGCGTTACATAGCAGAATCCATAACTGCACTGGAGTCAAAGCTAAGAGGGTTTGTTGAGTTGTGCCTACAGAAACCACGCTACATTTCCCAAACAGCCGCTTTGACCAACAATCACCATGTCGGCTATTGAAATCCTTTCCACCCTGGACGTCCTCATCAAGTTGGGGTCAGAAATCAAGACCCGACTCGACTCGATACCCCGAGCTGCCGAAGATCTTCAACTGCTGGACACTGAGCTTAGACTTTTTGTGACCATGTTTCAGAACCCCGCGAACAAGAACATCCCTCTTATGTCAGAATTTGTGATTATCCCGCATGTCCTGGAAAGTATTGCAGATTTGTGTACAAAATGCGCAAAGGCCCTGGACATCGACCTTGCTGCTGGCGCGACAATTGCGAATAAGACAGGGCCATATGGCAAGAGATTTGTCAAGCGAATATGGGCTTTCTACAAGATTCCTGGCCTTCTCGCCGAAATTCAGCGCAAGGCTGATCAACTTCACAAGATATACATCACAATTTCTGCTGCAATCCTCCACAACATGACGACGCAACAGGGACAGACGAGCGTCGCGCAAACAACTATACATGAAAACTTGCTCCACCTGGACCTCAGCACGGGTTCTGCTAACATCGACCAGATGGTGGGAAGCCTCATAAAGGAATGCAAACGGCTTCGGCAACGACTCCAGGAGGCTATTCTATTTCCTGACACGTCGGCTGTTCAAGACTATCAAGCGCAGAATCCAGAAGGAGCATCATTTTGGAAGGATCGGTTCCAAAAAGACGAACTCAACGCCTCGGCTCTTCGTTATGAGGTAAGGACGCTTAACAATGCATTCCCCACTTTTTTCCTCCCCGGCTTGTCTTTTTCAATATTATCCCCAACATCGCCGCATCATACTGACATTTGACCTTTTTGGTAGTCGTTTTATGTTTCTTGGGCACGATTCGTACATGAGGTAGAAACATCTTTTGTTCTCAAGAGGATACCGACTGGAATTTTTGAAACTGGAAACATCGATCTCGTTCGCGAGCAAGGATCTCGCTATTGCATTGATCAAAACGGCACACGTCGCCTTTCCACTATCCGGCCTCTGTGGCTCCCGGCTCTTCGGTCTGCTCTCGATCCGATGCACAAAGGTTACGTCAAGCCTCGAGACTATTTCAGTCTTCTTCACGACTCCTCCTTGTCTGATACCCTTAGAAGATTGACCCTCCAAAATGCCGGCTACGGTGTACTTGTCGAATGCGAAAGGGCACCTGGGGATCTTCCCTTGCCCGCGGCAATTGAGTCCCCTTCTGATCATGTCGGTTGGATATCTGCCCAAATCGTGGCCGTTCCGAGACCTGATGAACTTGGAATCTTTTCCGAACGAGAGGTCATGGAATCAAGCGGCGACGCCCTCTTCGCTCACTTCAATGATATTACTCAAGACGTAAAGGTTTACGTTCGTTACCTTCAGACTGGTCAAATCGAGCGTAAGAGTCTCTTGAAGCAAGTTCGTCCGATTGGGGGCATTTCTGTTGGCGCTATATTGTCTATCCGGCATGAGCTGGAATCGGGTGATCATGCCTGGAGCTGCGACCTTCACATCACCGAGTTCAAGGCATTTTACGGGGGGGAGTATATTATCACGGTCGATGGAGGTGCAAATGCTATTGTATTTTCCACGAGGCCACTCAAGAATTCCTTCGACAAAATGTTAGGCGACGACAATAACTCTTCAAGTTCTACTATACCAGAGTTTGATTGTACGCTTCTGGGGCCGTCGAAGGTATTCATCCACCCACCGAAAGTTGGCGAAAAGATTCAGGTATGTATTATTTCTGCCAGAACAACGTGTAGTACATCTACCGAGGTGCAATTCTCATTCTGTGATTTGGTCAGGTCGAGTACGACGGATTTTGGTACGATTCGAGAGTTACGGTAGTGGACGGCGATGAGATAGAGTACATTGATTGGGACAGTTTACCGAAGCAAGTCCCGACCAATATTACAGAAGCTCAAGGCGATAGCGAACGGGATGAGAATGATGGCGGTAGCTTTGCCTTTTCCGAAGAGCAGTTGAGACAACTCGGCAAGGGCACGCGGCGGCTGTGGCGACCGTGGCGAAGAAACATTAGAAGGTACGATGTCCGACCTTATCGTTGCTTTCATATCGGCGACTCTGTCGAGGCACCCATCATGTACCCGGATTTCCGATTACATTACCATGTTACCGACAACTCGCAACTCTACCTCCCTGCTCGAATTGTTGACGTCCAGGGTGACCAGTATGTGGTCGAATTCAGTCCGGCGCTTTCGGCTCATGAGTGGTGGCCAGGGAGGATTCCCAAGGGTACACAAATAGATCTAGTGCCAGGATCAGGTGTTACGGTAGAAAACCCGTTAGACTTTAATCGCGTGATGTTACACATGGATCGGGTTCGCCCCTTTTCTGCGGGCCCACGACCGGTTTTGGGCATTCAGTCAGCGAAGCCGTCTGGGTGGAGTTCATTTCAGGGCGTTCATCTTAGCAATCTTGAGGATCTTTTGGAGCGGAGTCTTTGGAGCAGCGGCCACGATAGTCCACGAACGGGCGGCCAGAGGGATTGGAGAGCGTCCGAGGATGAGAAATAACTGTATCGTGTACTCTCGGTAGGGTACAGAAGAGACATGAACCGAGGCGTATCGAGGTCCCTTGCCGGAGAAGATATCATTGTTTATTGGCGTTTGATGTGATAGCTCGCGAGGCTACCGAGTGAGGAGGCTACGAGGTGCCAAAGACCGTCGCCGCCTGAGCTATTGGGGTCAAACCACGCATCCAGGTCCAAATAAAATCAACATCTAGTTGCGTACTACAAAGCAACAGTCATTTTTTGCGCCTCCAAGCACACCATATAAATGCCCAAACGCTGTCAACGCTCGGCAATATCATGGCAACAACTTGAACAACGAACAGCCACACGGCCACCATGTCAGTATCAGACTCAATATGGTTCCGTTGCACAATCAGTTCCGTCCACAGGATGAGTGGCCACCCCCCAACCATCATGACTGCCGCACCGACCAGAATGACAGGATACTTGTATTTGGAAATGTCGTTGGTTGACTTGCCTCGCCACGGAATAAATGTCGAAGCAGATTCATCGTCGTCCATGAACACCGATTGTATCGCCGCGTAGATGGCTATGAGGACGCTCGCGCATGTGAATATCGAATCACCAATCTGCCAAACAAGGATGAATTTGTGCCAGCCTCCTGTCAGAATGCGCCAGCCAAAGAAGAAAAATTGGTATTCGTCGAAGCCTTCTGGTTGGTTTGTTGACCAGCTAACCCACGCAGAGACTGTATTAAGTATAAGAACACCTGCCGACCCAGCACCAAGGATGATTGCCATGAAGAGGTTGCCGGAAGTCACGCCACCAATGTACGTAACGGCATAAATCAGATTGAAGTGAACGGGTAGCAACGACAACGCGTGTAGCTCCTTATCCCTAACTGCTCGGTACCATTGGATCTGAGTGTACCAGTTGTAAGCAAGGAAGCCAATGTTAGTAGGGAGGTTGCTGCCGATACCGGAAATAAACTGCGCTGGTGAGAGCATGAAGCTGGTGTAGAGAAGCCATCGGTTCGTTAGACTGAAGCCAGCAACAACCTGGTTGAAAGGTGTCGCCATGACCAGCTGTAAGGTGTTTCTTGCTCAAAATCACGAGTAGGGAGCTTGGTGTCGGTGTTTAGTACAGTCACTAGCCGGCAAGACGAGCCAGGCAGTTCAGTTAAGACAGAGGATAAAAGGGCTGAGGAGGGACTGCCTCTGAGTGAGGTTCGACAAATAATTTATAGAAGGCACATCATGGGCCTCCTGATGCGGGGCAGTGCATGAGGCTGAAGGTCGTATTGGTGTTCCAGATGACAGGGTTAATACAGGAGGCAGCTTCAGCCTCACTTTCGTCCCCGATGCTGCTCGCGGTATGGAAGCGAGCAACCGTCAAAACAGACAAGATATTCCTAAGTGTCACGATTATCTCGATTATAGAACATATACTTTGCGAAGATGTAACGGTATTCTTCTTCTTTACGTGGGTGATTATCTCGACAGGTTATCACGAATCCCGTTAACGTCAACTCAATTTCGCCAAGGCAATTGAGTGGGGTAAGACGCCAAGGCATTGAAAGCTGCGGGCCGTTCTCGTCAGCCCGCCAGTCCAACAACGTTTAGGCTCGTTCGTGCCCTAATCTCCGGGCCGGGGCCTCGCTATCTTCGGCCACAGTACGGCACCTCATTACAAGTCTGAGGCTCTTAGCTCTTCTTTCGTGCCAGGTACATTCTGGCGCATAATCGCGACCACTGTCTTGCAGCCCGGACACAATTGTTTTTGGTGATCATTCGCTGGGCAAGTTCCATCGTGAAAGAACCCAGTCAGAGTTGGTTAGAGCAAAATGTATTGTAACTAGCCTCACCGCGTCGTGTGGGGTGGACCACCAGCCGGCCCGGTGTTCGGCCAATGGGGACCTGCAAAAGTGTAGCGCCCAAGGTGTAGCGCCCAAGGTGTAGCGCCCGTATCAATTTTGGTGTAGCGTCCCTATCAATCACGGCCGCCGTGGCGCCGGCGATGGACTATGCGTCCAACGTCTGGTCCCATGCCTGCGGTGAGAAGGAGTGGCAGAAGCTGAAGCAGGCATCGCGCCAGTGCTTGAGCGGCACGCCAGGACAGCAGCCAAGAATTGGGTCAACCTCCGCACGCTGCCGAGGGAGCATCCACTGGCAAGGCTGAACATGAGGATCTGTCGACGGTTCACATTACCGATGCAGAAGATGGCTGAATTGTACAAGGAAGTAACCGGTCAGCGATTGGAGGTGATCCAAGAGTTTGCCATGGAGCCGTGGGAGCGCCGCATCCCTGTTCTCTGCTATGCCGATCGAGACAAGGCGACACAACTAACCAAGAAGGCGCGAGGCGCGGTCATCTCAACGAGCTCTTCCGAGAGAGGAGGAATTGTCCGCATGGGGGGCTGCGTGGAGTACGGGACGTGCTGGTCCGCTACTCGGCCACTCTGGGGCCGCGGGAAGACCTGAATCCATACGTAGCAGAGAAGGATACAGGTGTAGGAAAGTATTCCCAGCGCATCGACATAGCCCTCCCGGGTAAGCACACGCGAACGATTTACGACGACCTCAGTGGACAAGAGGCCAGAATACTGGTGCAGCTACGAACAGGCAAGTGCAGGCTCAACAGCTATCTGCACAGGATCAACGAGGCGAGGGTGACGACAGAACAATGTCGCTGTGGACAGGCGGCGGAGACGGTAGAGCACTTTCTCTTTCGATGCAAATTGTGGAGGTCGGAAAGGGAGGGTATGGTGCGATGCAACCGTGCCAAGATAGGGAATTTGTCTATCTTCCTGGGAGGCAAGTCTGCATCGGACGGGGAGGGTTGGGAACCCAACCTGGCAGCAATCCGGACGACGATCAAATTTGCAATGGCTACAGGCAGACTGGACGCAGACAGGTGAGACGATGAAAGAAATTGAATAACTATTGACTATAGTGTGGAATCCTGATCGCACAGCCTCACATCGGCAGACCAAGCTCCAGCTGCCGAGGATGGGACGTTGGGCACTTGGAGGGAATGGCCTCTGAGCAGGACGGTCGGTTCACGGAAATGAGGCTTGTGGGAGCAGGGGAAGAATGCATCGTGGGGCTTCAGGTGAGTAGAAAAACGTTACGATCTGTAGGTCATGTAGTGTCAAGGCCCTTTAGGGGTGATCCCTCCGGGCGTAAATAAATTACATTACATTACATTACATTGCCATTGGAATTGCACGATTGCGTGATAATATTATGTTCACATTACATAAAGTAGGTTCTTGACAGATTTAGCCCTGGGGGGCTCACACGTAGCCTGGTTTCTAGGTGTTCCAGCTCTACCCTGTGGGCTATTCTAGCTTAGTTCGAGTAGATTGCCCAAGGCTCAATATTGACAGTGTCGACGTGTGCTCCGCCCCCTACTCGGTACATTGTCTCGCATCCTTTATTCGGCTTTAATCCGACTGGACCTCTCCACATCCAAACGAGACGGTAACATATTTTGGAGGAGACAAACTATTTATATTTATTTACAAAAGACCACAGTAAGCATAGATTACTTCCCCTACCCAAACAAACTATGGTTTCAAATATGAGCACCATTTACCTCATTTGACTGAATCCTCCGCATGAGTTGTGGGCTGAGAAGCTCACTGCATACCCATGTATCTTCTTTGGACGGACGACCATGCCAATGCAAAAGGCGTTGAAGTTTCCCAGCTCTCAATCGGGCTCCCAAAACATCCACACCCGCGTCAAAACCTTGCCAACTCGTCTCAAACCTATCGAGCAATCCTTTGTCCATGATGTGTCCTCTCGGCTCCCAAGTCGTGGTGGCATCAGACCATTTCACCAGGAAAGTGTGTCGCCTCCACCGAGCAAGCAGGCATTCCATTCGGTAAATGTCGGGACAGACACCTGGGTAGGCGGCTTGGATGGACTGCTGCGCTATATTTTCAGTATGTTGATTGGATTGCGCTCTAAGTCTCCGGTCCTCGACTTCGTTTGGTGCTAGGTCACCGTTCGGGACTGGATCGTTCTGGGCAACTAGTGTATTCCATCAAGTATCACTAGTAAACTCTAGTTGGAATATAACAGTGCCATTCTGTTTAGTGCATTTTAGGACCGCATTGCCAAGTGGCCATGCCTCGTACCCCGCAACACCGGAATGGGCAGGCCTTTTTGCATTTGCAACAGACGCTTTGCCGCTGTTTTTCGTCGTATTCTTCCTCAAGAAGCGTACTTTTCGATTTCGCTTTGGACCTGAGCCTTGCTGTGAACTACGCTTCTTAGGCTGAGGGCACATAAGCTTGCGACGTTTGCGCTGTGGCACACGCTTTTCGTTAGACCCGCCGTCCTTTTGTTCCGCGGTGAGTTGTCTTTTGACCGGGAGGCAGTGAAGGTTGTAAGCTTTTCTGAAGCCACGACGACGAGACGATTACTTTTCCATTTCTTCGCAGGCTTCTGCAGGCTGGCTCACTGTGTAGTTGGCACTGATATTTGTCTGGCACTCTTCATCCCATCCTTGAGCAGTTGGCGACGAGCTAAGCCGAGAGTCCATGGGCAGAATATTATCTGCTGCTTGGTGTTCCTGAACACCCTCCATCAAACTTCCTCGACGCGAGACTGGGCGGCTGCATTCCGACGGAGGTGCTTGGGCCGAGGCGGGTCGAGCTACTCTATGCAATTCGTCGTCGCTCCGCGAAACCATGTCTTCAATGTGGCCGTGGTCAGCATTGACGCTATGAATCTGGCTGCACTGGTTTGACGATACGACAATGCAATTCTGCGATTGGGAAGGCTGGACGGGGGCGGTCGTGGATGCAAGGCAGGCCTGGCAAGGAGGTTCCGCATTCTCCTCTTGCAGTGCTTCATCCCTTGGAGGCAACACATGCGCGGACTGCACTGACCGACGCTCGGAGGCCAGCGAGACGGCACCAGGTCTTCGTACAGATGTAGGCAATACCGAGTTTACGCCATCATTGTGTTGTTGTATTGCCAGAGACACCAACTCATCAGAGTCAGTGGCGATCCCCGGGCCACCGAGGGCTCTTGAGACGAAAATCACACCTCTCGGAGAGTTTAAGGCTGGTGAATCAGAACTTTCTCGCCCCCCCGCTAAGCAAAAATCCTGGGTTGAGCTCCCTAGGCTCGAGTTTGCCATTGTAGTACCTTGAAGTTGGGTTTGCAATTGCTCACTGATATCTTCTGTTGGACCGTGTCCGACGTTAATCATGGACGCCATAATCGCAGAGATAGAAGGAAGTGAGTCGTCAGGATGCTGGTCATGTGTAAAATGTACACGCGGGACATCTTGTACCATCACTTCGGCGTCACTATCTGTTTCAGACTCGGAATCGGACGGGATCGATATCACGTCATTCAAAGGCCACGGGCGATCAAGAAAGGAACAGCCTCTCGCAGTTTGTGTCATCATGTCGGTGTACCGTCCTAGAAAGCTGATGGGGTTTGAGATGTGGAAGCACGTGAAGCTAGTCAGGCTATGGCTGTCCGCGTCTCTTACAAGTCAAAGGCAGCGAATTGTGAGGAATGATAAAGTTAAGGTCAAAAAGTTTTACGCAGCGTCATGGGGGGGGCGACCTCTTTATATACCCGTTCGAACTCAGCATGGCATCCCTCGCGTATTACCAAAGCCTCGTCATGCCTCCGAACTTCCGCTCATGTCACCATGCAGTCCAGGGGTTGAGTTTATGTAACCCATTGACAACATCACCTTCGCCTGTGTTTCTTGCTTAGCAGCCACACGGCATGGATCATTCCGCAGAACGTATTGTGGAGCTGCTAGAAAATACTAGTGCATATATTAAGCTAAATGAGTGGATGCTAGAAGCCTTCTAACAGGTCAAAGTCATTCGAAATGAGATGTCACAATCCAATAGTCAGTGCCGCGTTGCTGACAACTCTGGTCAACGCAACTCTCCTTATACCTGCTTCTCCCCCCTCTCTTCCTCAACCCAATTTGTGGCTCCTTGTGCCACGATTTTGGGATAATCCTTGTGCTCCAGAAGGTAGGACATGATTTGGGCGGTGAACTGTTCGATCTGTTTGAAGCTAACGAGTGGATTGACGGCAATCATGACTATGTGCCGATGGCCTAAACAATAAATACATATATCCGCGCGGTGTTGGCGGCAGTCTTACGCTTCAGACGCATCTGCCGGGCGACCTGCTTCTCGCCCTCGGCCTTCAATCTCCATTGAATGAACATTCGAGACTACCTTCACCCAACCAGTTTCATCAGCATTGTTACAGCTGCTTGGGTTTAGATTTATGGCGAGACCCGTGCCTTGCGACCCATCAGCAGCATCGGGCATACGCCATTCCAGGCTCATTCCTGGAAATATATCCACAGGAACAATATTTTGTACGCCCTTAATTACGCTGTTGATATTCAGCTCTCTATCCTGGTCAGAATCCCCGACGAGGTATTCATTCCGGCGGATTGTGGGCGCTGTCAACAGTTCAAATAAAAGTGCTGACCCGTTGATCTGTCCAGGAGCATCCCCAACTGCATCAAACGAATGAGATCCAAATAGAAGATCCGGAGTGCCCAGATCGGTTGCTTATGGTGGCCGCCTGTCCCGACTGGCAGGGATGAGAGCCTAGCTGGGGTGAGGCGCGACTGAGAATTAACAGTGAACTTCGGCTCCGAGACTTCAAGCGCGATGTAGTAGAAAGCGAGGTTCAGAAGTTGGTCGATCAAGCATACACAGATCCATTACTGCGAAATAGTCTCGGCCTCCAGGGGACAGCTGTGTCACAAAATATGTCGAAATTTTGGAATTTTGGAGCTGGGGTGACTTGTAACTAGTAATTATCAGTTACAGAAGAGCAACAAGCATTCGCGGGTTACCAGTGCTTTGGCGGTGGAGGTACCTGGCCCCGCGGGAATTAACTGGAATGGTTACCAGTCACTTCGAGGGTGCCCACAGCGGTTACTAGCATCCTTCCGTTGTGCATTGGTGAGCTACCAGTCACGGCGCTAGGCAGGCTACCAGCACCGGCAGCTACCGGCGACGACCATATCTTAATTGCTGGTAGCGCTTAGGTGCTGGTAACAAGGACGTAGCGATTACTAGTACCGCTCCATAGCAGTTCAGCGGTTACCAGGACACTAGGATACCAGCAGTCAAAGTTAGTTGGTTACTGGCACCTGTTAAGTAGAAGGTTGCAGCTGCCGCGGTGGCTACGTGATTGGGGTGAACGCCCGAAGCATAATGGAGTAGCCGCTACCGGTATTTCAAGCAAGCCCACGGCACTGCCCTACGTCTCTCAAAACCACCCAATGCTCTCTCTCATACACCTCAAAGGCGTGGGTCTCCGGTTCCTCCTGCCAGCAGCTACCGGCTGCATGGTGGAGTAAGTTGAAAAGCTGAGTCGATGTCGAGCTTCTCATGACTAGATCTCGAGGGGAACTCGCCAGAGTCGCTGAACGAATTCTATTCAGCGTCATCGATGCCGTCGCAGTTGCTCACGCTGCTGGGTGACAAGGTAATCGTAATTGCAGAATCCTAAGAGGAGCCAGGTGACAAAGACGAGTGAGTTTGGGCCTTGAGCATTGGGCTTGTCTGTGTCAGTGTGATTCCGTCCGTACCGAGCAGTGTTAACCCCTGGCAGTGATGGTCAGATAGGCATCGAGAACGCCTTTGCTAATAGCGGCTCGCGAAAACAAGGGCATGATTTATCAGCCTTTAGAGGGCTCGGAATCCTCGATCGCTTTCTGACACTTCTGGATTTTTTTTGGCTATGGCTCTTGGTATCATTTTGGGAAATTTGTCCTGAACACTGGGCGGCGTGTCAGTACCGGTAGGTGTAACTCACCCATCCCGACAAATTTCAGATTTCAATGACCATGCCCACTAACTCTTGTCTTAAAAGCCGTTGGATTGCTAGTGATCACGTATCCTATCCTAAGGCACGATATGAATCATTTCACGAGTCGCTTTCGCTCAGAGCAGTGTGGAAACAGATTTGCTTTAGCATATTTGTGAACTGGATCACATTATTTCTCATGGTTAGTATTGCGCCCATGGGTAGCACGACCTTTGTGTCTTATTGTTGTTGTCTAACTGCTGTTGGAAAAATAGCTTGCCCTCGCATGGGCTTTCCTCCCTGACAATCCCATCCCTTGTTTTATCACTCCGTTGCAGCATAGAAGGATTGTATTTGCTATAAAGAATCTGAATACGCACAAAACGCGTTTCCGCCACGCTCACTATGTCACCCAACATCCAGCTGGTCCTCCGATGCCCGCAGCACTCACCTAATCGAACATGGTGCGCCTTCGAGGCCAACCACATGGCGGATCACAGTCTAGGGTAGGCCTGGAGTTTCCGGACACAATGCATTGTTGTGCATTTCTCTTCGACTTTGCCAAAAGGCCGCTTCCTCCATTCCCGGGATTACTCCGGCCATACTTGCAGAAGTCTATGTCGCAGGCTGGAAGGCGTGGTTACGCACGAAGGACATGGTTGCATTGCAAGCCGAACGCACATCGCCGTCAAGGCAATATTGGTTTGGACTGCTGCGCTTCCCAACCAAGCCACATTGTCGTGAGGAGAATTTGCTGTGCCGATTCTGACCAGCCTTGTAGTCGGGCCGCGTGCATAGTGAAGGTGGCGTGCGGCAATTCAAGCGACTGCGGGCAAAGCTCGCACTGGTAGAGTCAAGGATCAGATTGGGATATACCTGACTTGTCATCCCGACATGAGACATGCCAACCGGCTCTGTGACGAATGCCCTTCGGCTGAGAAAGTACAGGGGAGTGCAGTAGGCGTGGCGGCATGGACAGGTTCACATCTTGAGCCAGGTCCTGGCGCTAATCAGTGCTTCGGAGGAACGTCTCCCTCTCGACACTGGCCGTGACATTGGGTGTCGTGGAGTTCAAGTACCCAGATTCTTTGTGGTACAATGCGCGTCAGAGCGACGGGAGCCGGTCACGATCGTGTCATGGACGCGTTGCGGCTTTGATTGTCCTTCGGGCTCAAGGAGCTGGATGGCAAGTGCGGAGTCCATCGTCAGAAACGTCGGCTTGAAAAGCGTCTGCAGGTGGGAGTGGCAGCTGCTTATCAGGCATACGGCTCGAGGGTGCTGCATGCGAGTGCCCACAGCATCACAACCCCCAACGTGCGTCTGTGTAACTGGCGAGATCCTGTTGTTGCGGCCTGGCCCCGACCTGGTCCTCCTCAGCTTGCTTTCGTCCTTCTATGGTGACTGACAAGGCTGCGCTCTTCGACTGACTGTGATAAACAATATGCCATCGTCACGTCTCCTTCCTCTCCCTGGGTGACTCAACCCCAGCTTCCTCGTCGACATAGGCGAACCGCACAGCCCTATCATTCCACCCGCCCATCTGACGGCCTCGTGCACTTCACTCCGCACCATGGCATGCAACAACGCTCTCGACAACCCCGACTCCTATGCAGTCGCCTGGATTGCTGCTCTTCCCATTGAGCGGGCCGCTGCAGAAGCGATGCTCGATGAGGAACATGCAACTCCCGCTGGTTTCACTAGACACCAAACTGACGAGAACGTCTATACGCGGGGTCGCGTGGGAGAGCACAACATCGTCATTGTCTCTCTTGCCGCTGGAGTCTACGGAACTACCTCGGCTGCGACCACGGCCTCGAGCCTGCTTGCCTCTCTGCCATCCATCCGTCTTGGCCTTTTTGTCGGCATAGCCGGCGGCATCGCCCGACCGGACGAGGGCCACGATATCCGGCTTGGCGACATCGTCGTGAGCCAGCCCGATGGGACCACGGGCGGCGTCTGCCAGTACGACTTGATCAAAGCAAAGTCGGGTGACACGCGTGAGCGCAAGGGCTTTCTCGGGCGGCCCCCGACGGTCCTCCTCAATGCGCTTACCAAAATCCAGGCCGTTCACGAACGGGAAGACCCCGAGGTTCCCTGCTTTCTTCAAGAGATGCTGAAGAAGAACCCGAAGATGAGCAAGAGATCCAAGAAAAATCCCGGCTATGCTCACCAGGGCGCCGACAACGACCAACTCTTTAAAGCTTCATGCGACCACGTCCCCGGGCCGGACTGTCGGGGCTGTGACATGGCTGGCGAGATTCAACGCGATCCTCGAGACACTACCGACCCCGAGATCCACTACGGGACCATCGTATCCGGAAACACACTTGTTAAAGACGCCGCTGCGCGCGATCGGATTGTTGCCGACATCGGCGAGGATTGCATCTGCTTTGAAATGGAAGCGGCCGGTCTGATGAACCACTTTCCCTGTCTTGTGATCCGAGGGATCTGCGACTACGCCGATTCTCACAAGAACGATCGATGGCAACGCTACGCCTCGGCCACCGCCGCTGCGTATGCCAAGGAGCTCCTGGCGTACGTGCCGGCCGCGGAGGTCCAGGAGACCAAGAGGGCACTGGAAGTGCTTCAGTTGGGTTAGTTCGTGTTTCATTCACTAGGGCTAGACTAGCAAATAGACCGAATACTATTTGAATTTGGAATTCGTCCTGACTGCGAGTAGTTCAGCAACAGATCGATGGCGTGCAGCAGACGACAATTGCAACGAAAGCTGCAACTGATTCCATCAGGTCTGACCTTCGTACCGATAAGATCGAGCGCTGGCTTCGGCCCCCAGATCCGTCTACAAACGCCAACCACGCGAGGAAGCTCCGCCATGAGGGGACAGGAGCGTGGCTCCTGGAAAACCCGATCTTCCAGCTGTGGCACTCGGGGTCGCGTCGACATTTATGGCTGAATGGGCTTGCGGGATGTGGAAAGACGGTTCTCAGCGCGACTGTGCTGGATCATCTCACGAAGGGAAACGACCATCTTATCCTCAGCTTCTTCTTTGACTTTAGCGACACGACAAAGCAGACCTTGGATGGCATGCTGCGGTCGCTTGCTTTCCAACTTTACCAAGGCGGGGCTGGTTCTGCAGGTCTTCTTGAGGCCTCATTCCAAGCACACCAGGATGGCCGCCACCAGCCTGCTGCAAAGACTCTCGAGGACGTTGTGTGCAAGATGCTTGCAGTCCAGAAGAAGGGTTCTATTGTTCTGGACGCATTGGACGAGTCGACAACAAGGGATGAACTTCTCCGGTGGATGAAGGACATAATATCCAGGCCAGAGTTGAGCAATGTCCAGCTGATTTGTACCGGTCGGCCTGAACCCGACTTCAGGGGCAACATCCCCTCGTTGATAGGTGAGGAAAACTGCTTAGCACTCGACAAGGCGTCCGTCAACGCCGATATCCGATCGTACGTCGCAGCGCAGCTTTCACAACGATCTGGTTTCCGGGAGAAGCGCCTGTCCCAGGATCTCCTCGAGAGGATCCGGAGGAAGGTTGGCGACGATGCCGACGGGATGTAAGTCCTGACCCAGTTCGTCCGTGTCCTGACCTTTTCCTGAAATGCACCGTAGGTTCAGATGGGCAGCCTGTCAATTAGACAGCCTTGCCGGATGCCCTAGTCCCAAGGCCATCAAAACCGCGCTATATCATCTGCCCCAGGATCTGAAAGAGACGTACGAGCGAATGGTCCGCAGTATCCCGAAAGACTGCAGGAACAGTGCTCTCCGCCTGCTACAGTTTCTCGTCCATACCCATCGGCCTTTGACGGTACCCGAGGCAGTGGAGATCATCGCGACAGACATAGAGGAGGATCCACCATGTTTTGACGTTGACGGGAGAGTATTCGGTGAAGAACAAGTTCTACGGCATTGTCCTAGCCTAATCTCCATCGTTTTTGCGTATAGTCACGGCAGGCCCACAAAGGAGCTACATCTTGCCCACTTTTCCGTCAAAGAGTACCTACTGGGAGAGAACCAGTTCAACATTGCAACTGCCAGCATTTCCATCACGAGGACGTGCTTGACTTACCTTACGGATATCAGTGGTAGCCACATCGAAATCAAGCGGGATTTTCCGATGGCAAGATATGCGGCGGAAATCTGGATGGGCCATGCTGCGTTGGCTCCGGCTTCGGAAGATATAGTTCGAGCGACAGTCAGGTTCCTAGAAGAGGAAGTGACATTCCAACGATGGGCACAATTGTATCAGGCTGACAGGGATTGGGACGATGATCCAGGTCCTCCACGAGGTTCCAGGCTCTACTATGCTTGCTTCTATGGGCTCGTAGGGCCTGCAAGAGATCTTATCGGCAAGGGAGCGGACGTCAACGCGCAGGGCGGCTTCTACGGCAACGCTCTCGAGGCCGCCTCGTTGGAGGGCCGTCTCGAGATTGTGCAACTGCTCTTGGACAAGGGGGCGGACGTCAACGCGCAGGGCGGCCACTACGACAACGCTCTCTGTGCCGCCTCGGAAAGTGGCCATCTCGAGATTGTGCAACTGCTATTGGAGAAGGGGGCGGACGTCAACGCGCAGGGCGGCTTCTACGGCAACGCTCTCGAGGCCGCCTCGGTTACAGGCTATCAAGAGATTATCAAGCTGCTCTTGGACAAGGGGGCGGACGTCAACGCGCAGGGCGGCGAGTACGACAACGCTCTCTGTGCCGCCTCGTCAAGAGGCCATCTCGAGATTGTGCAACTGCTCTTGGACAAGGGGGCGGACGTCAACGCGCAGGGCGGCCACTACGGCAACGCTCTCTGTGCCGCCTTGTCAAGAGGCCATCTCGAGATTGTGCAACTGCTCTTGGACAAGGGGGCAGACGTCAACGCGCAGGGTGGCTTCTACGGCAACGCTCTCTGTGCCGCCTCGTTGGAGGGCCATCTCGAGATTGTGCAACTGCTATTGGAGAAGGGGGCGGACGTCAACGCGCAGGGCGGCGAATACGGCAACGCTCTCGAGGCTGCCTCGTTGAAGGGCCATCAAGAGATTGTCAAATTGCTCCAAGAAAGGGTGCTCTCCAATAAATCTGGCGAAGAAACTTCGTCTCGTGTACCTCGAACCTTCTAATCACACTTAATAATTCGTTCAGTAGCCTCCACCATGGTGTCCATCTATCGCCTAGCTTCAGGCCTCATCACTCTTTTCACTTAGCACCCAAGCTGACTATGGCTGACAAGATGGGCATAAATCCCAGGGTAAATTGCCCAGAGTCTGTGACGACGATCTGGGGACGATCCGAACATATATGCCATCTTGCGATCCTCACAGGCTCGAGGGGCCACTTCACAGGTCAGCTTGCACACGGAGGGTGGGATGGATGGCAGGACGACGCTGGCGCTGGCCGCCGCGAACGGACACGAGGCCGTAGCCGAACTGCTGCAGCCCAAATCTTTACTCACTGTCTCTATTTAGTGTAGTATCCTTGACTACAAGGCACCTCGTGTCTGGCTATCTAGGTTTGGACACCCCAATCATGGTTCAGCAGGAACCGCAAATCCTGTAAGTTGTAATATCTTTTCCAGAGGTTGGTCGAAGGGGTCTAGGTTCCTTTATAACTATGATCGATTGGCGTCACGTGCCGTATATCCTGATGTGGCAGGTCGTCGCGTAATTTTTTGTCAGAAGTATGGGTGGCAACATCACGAGATGGTGCCATCTCGTAACACTATTGATTGGATAGCTGAACAACGGTCGAGTAGAGCGAAAGGCTCCTGGCCACATCACAGTCAGCGGCGCACCCCACCATTGCCGGCCAATTTTCTTTTTTAAACACAACTAATTATTATTGTGGTGGGTTTGGTTAGCGATAGCGGCCATCAAGCCATTCCAGATGATTCAAGTCGTTTTCCCACTAGATGCTCTAAGCTGAAAGTAAAGTATACATCGTAAGGCTTTTCTCCATTCCCTCACTTCCCAAGTCCGCTGTTGGGCAGTTGAAGCACCCAACCCACATAGCCTAACGTCTCTACGAGTTTGGGGCTCAACAGTTCCTCACCGACCCAAGAGCCCTTGCCTGCTGGGCGGGCGTAGAAATGCAAGAGACATTGTCGCTTACCCCGTTTACTTTCTCGCGTGTTCAGCACGTCGACTCCCTCATCAAATCCGGCATAAGCCGACTCAAATCCGCGTAACATTTTCTTGTCCAGAATGTTCCTTCGCGGCTTCCTCCCAACCGGTGCTGCCGTCAAGGTCCCATCTTAGGAAGAAGATGTTCTTACGATTCGCTCTTCTTCGTGTTTACGCGGCCGAGCTTTCTCTCCTCCCTCTCCTACGCGGTATGACCAAAGTTTCTGGTCACCAAGTTTTTCGCTCTTCAATCGCCTGCTCTCCACGCAATTGGCTGCAAGGCAAGAAGGTGGGTACCCAAAAACACTTCAACTTCAATGGATCCATTTGATACTCGACGTGCTTCTCCCAGGTGCATGTATTCGTATTCATGAACACTGCTAGCCAGCGCAACTTTCATATGCGAAGTCCTACGTGAAGTGGCCATCGTCTGCTGCGGGGTCTTGCGCTTCGAGATTCCTCGTTGCTGCTCACAGGCAATGTTCCTAGTAAGGCGCGAAATACCAATCTGGCGTGTTTCGGGTTGATAGAGCAAGAAAATTCGTCATCTACAAATCGGTTGTAAGTTAGGCAAGATACTTCAGCTTGGACAGATTCGTACCTTCTGGTGAGCCCTCGCGTTCACGTGGTGCCTCCTGTCCATTGACAAGCTTTTCATACTCAGAAAAGAGAGCATGAAGACGGTCAGTGTCCAAAGGCGTAGATATGGGGGTTACCTCGGGTTCCTCCTGCCCGGCCATCGGCTGCATATCGCAGGAAGTCGGAACGCCCAAGTCATTGTTAAACTTGGACAACATCGTTCTCAAGCGAGGAATTTGGGTCTATGCCAGGCTATGCTTGTGGGTGATTGGTTGGAATACGCGCTGAAGCGATTTCTGCCTGGAAGGCGATAGTATCAACACGCATGGCTAGCCTTGGAACCAACGTTGCCAGCCTTCTCGCATGCTGGTGCAGAAGAAAACTCAATGCCAACCACGTCCTCTGCACGTTGACGGAAATGCAAGTTGGACCTGACCGGCCCGTGGCTCGCGGACGCTTTGGCCACAGGACATCGCTCCCATTGAAGTGAGCGAAGGACGTGTTTACATTTGGATCTACTTAAGATATATATCCCTTATCGCTCTGATGCGCTACATCCACGTGTTGCCTGTCCAATCTTGACGACATGTAGCTGATCAATGCCTCGTGAAGGATCAGCGGGGGGTTGCATGATGTGCGGCCCGCTGGTGGCGGCATGGAAGTCAGCCATTGGCGCGCCAAACTGAACCAGCCTTAACCCTGTAGGTAGTCAGGGGAAAGTGCTCTGAGGTGTGGTTGTAACCAGCAGTTGGGCTGTGCTCCGCCGGTCACGGCACCATCCGTTTTCCAACGCCATTGACGTAAAGTACGGTGGCAAACCGTAATCCTCCCACACCAGCTCTCGGTTCTCTGTCCTCTAAAAACGGACACCACATTCTCTAAAAATAGAGGCACACTCATTTATATCTGGAGGCATTAAAACCCCGGAGAAGAGCTGGACGGGATCCTGAATTTTAGTGGCGGCTGTGGTCGTATGTGCTAGTTAGGGGGCTTATCCTACATTATCTTCTTACATAGAACGGGATCCAATTTAGCAAAAAAAGAGACATACAACACTGGGTATTCGCTGGTCGTCACCGACCCAACTACTAATCCAGCGCTCACTAGGTTATCGTACGAGATCGGACCGGATACCGCGTCCGAAATGTGAACTTGCCCGACCTTTACCCGAAACGCCCGCCCGGACCCGCTTTTCCCGTCCTCTCCGTTTCCCCATCCTGCCACCGTTTTGGCTCTCTGTCCCGGCTTTCCGCTCCGATACCGAAGCGCCGGGCAATGGACGAGACCGCACGCCGCGTCGTGATACACACCCTCATGTTGCCTGTTTTCGACCCTGGCATTCGCATGAAAATCCTCAACCAGGCTCGGGGGGAGGCGCCCGACGCCGCCACCCTTCCCCCCCCCCCTGGTTTTATCGACCAAGTCTTTTTCTCCATTGGTCCTGTCGCAGGTCCATGTTCAGTCCGCCCTGGCGTCAATGTGCCGTGTTGGTCAGCCGTGATATCCCACTTGAGAATGCCTACGTGTACTGCAAGGACCCATTGGCCTGATTGAATTCAAGTGATGGGCTGACTAGATAAAATGCCCCTCTCCCCCTTTCCTTTTTCCTCGGGCGGTTTGGCCTCCATGACATTCAGTCCTTTGCCCCCCTTTTCTCATTCGCGTGTACTGCCACTGAAGCTGCCTTCGCTCACTTTATCATCATGCCCCGAGATCCGAAATCTTCCCTTCGCTTTGCCCGCCCAAGTGTGCGTCAGTTCAACAAAGATGCCGCTAAGGCTGCGGTGCAGAAGTATCAGGAGAAGCCGCTCAGCGAGGTTTGCCGCCTTGGCCCGAAAACGAGGCAGCGTCGCGAGAGGATCTGGCAGAACTGGGAAGAGTGAGGCATTCCTCTCTTCTCTCTCTGTTCCTAGGGAAGGAGCTATTGCTAATTTTATTTCTTGTAGATTTGCTGCTTGTGCTGAAGTCGATCCGGTTAATATATGGTTTGACCTTTGCCTAGGCAAACCAGAAGTTCAAGCCTTCTTCCAAGGATTTCTCAGACAGTACTGGGAGCAGTCTGTTACGTGGCGTCCTTGCCTTGGCCCCGAGGAATACGAGGAAGTACACACCATTAATTGCGCGTCAACAATAGAAGATGTATGGTGTTTGCAGGTTAATCATGCGGATGATCGGATCATGAAACCAAAAAGGCTCCAAGATCGCGAGAATGCCGGAATCTGGTCGTTGAAGTATGCTTCTAGGAGGACTTCGTCGACCTGCAGCCCTACTTATGAGATAGCTCGTGTGAGTTTTTAGCCCCTTTTCTTACTATTCATGGTGGGCTTCTCTAATTATTAATAACTATAGTGGATTCCCGAGTTTGGCACAGAAGTGGGATTAAACTTGGGGCAGACTTTTCAAAAAGATGGCGCGACCACAGACGATATTTTAACTATTCTTTCCACTGTATGGAAGAAAGCGGATGACATTAGGTGTTCACCTGATGATAGAGTCTCTTTCACCATGTACGTTGTCGAAATGGGCCTAGGAGGTTGGCGACCAGGCGCGTTAGAACTGAAGAAGTATAATCACGTAATGCTCGCGTGGGTCAGAGATCCGGTTAACCCGTCCATTACGCGGACCATATGCTGGTCTAAGGTTGATCATAACAAGCTCCGACAGCTCAGAATCGAGCGAGAACAGCGTCCAAGGTATATAGCCCCTATAATTTGATCCATTACTTGTAAGAGAAAAAATAAGCTAACGTGCGGCATTCGTGCTACATAGCTTGAGCTACGCACTCTCCGTGGTTCCAACGTTAAGCCTATGCTTTACCACTATGTTTACAGTCCGAGCAATAAGGGATAATGCCTTTGAGGCTGGATTTACGACCTGTGACGAAGTACTTAACCCTGGAACACTCGAGGAGGGCGTCGACTTCGTAGAGTTGCGCTGGAAAAAGGAGTTTAGGGGTGATGATAAGCATATTATGCCAATGAATTATCGCAGATTTCTTGATCTTTGGAACGAAGTGCGAATGGTATTGGGATCCCGATCTGGCTTCCGTCCCTACTCAGTTCGTGTTGGCGCGGTGGGTAGATTAGATGGTAAGTTGCCATTGCATCAGAATGCCTTCTTGCCTCTAACCATTTGTCCACAGGATGTCTTCAACCGGCACTTCGAAACTTTATAGTATCTCATTCCACAGAGGTCTTTGAGCGGAGTTATCGGCAAGTTAGAATACGTGCGAACCTGGCGAATATCGCATTTGGCGACAAGGCAAGACATGACGCAGCGCTTTGGGAAGCCATCTCCAATAGCTTCCATAAAAGAACTTGACCAATTTGAATCGAGAAAAGACATAACAGAGCTTCGCAAGGAGCTGAAACACATCACAGCCCAAGAAGGGTCATCTAGTCAAGAAGCAAAGAAAGTCTCATCGCGAATTAGATATATTCTAGACTGCCTAGAGAAGCTACAAGTTCGGGAAAAGCGCCGCAAGTACTTTGAGGAAGCAGACAAGTTGCGAGCAATGAACCAATCGACAGCACATCTCAAACAAGAGGTGCAAAATTTAAAAAGAAAGAGGTTCGGGAATAGCAGTGCCTACGCTGCCAAACTGGCTAGTCTTTTATTCCAAACAAACATCACTTCCGGCCTAGCCGACCGTCTTGTCGCTTATATAAGCGGAGCAAGCGGGCAGAGCGAGATTGGAGATATTTATTCTTTCGGAAAGAAATCAAAGGAACCCGCGCGATGTCTCTTTGGCTGCGGAACCTTCTTTAACACGTCAGCGCTCACAAGACATGTTCGCCATCTACACATGCATATCTTTAAGGCCCGGTTCTTGTGCCCCGAGTGCAAGCGGATGAACCTTGGAGATGTGGTGATTGAGGCGAATCCCTGTGCCTGGAGTAGCCATGTTCGAAGAGTCCATGGTGCAGTTCACACCCCAAACCTAGAGTCTCTACCGGATGTTCTTTGTCTTTTGTGCGACCGACAATGCAAACAGAGAGGGTTCTCTCGCCACCTGAACACTCATAGTGAGCTGTTTGACGAGCCAATCTCATGTCCAGCATGCCTACAAGAGGGCAGGAAGGTCGAAATCGAGGGCATGGGAGGCTGGATCACCCACGTAGCAGACGTTCACGGAGGTGACAGAGTTCTCGGAGCCATAGAGGTCTACAAGACCTCATGTTCAGATGCTGAAATCGCTCCAATAGACATGAACCCTGCCGAGGCGCAATACAGAAAAGAGCTTGGGAGAAGACGACAAGTGGACCGCAAGAGAAAGGTAGGTAACGCTATACCATCGGCTCCCCTCCCATATAAACGGGCGAAAACGGCCTTATCACAACCTTACGCACATACTAGTGGTGACTCGGATTGGGAAATCTCATCACCTGATCCTCACGCGGATGAAGAGTTCTGGGTTGATGGAAGGGAGTAGTCAGCCTGGCCGTTTTGAAAGCGACCAGACCCGTGACTAGAGATGAGTGATGAGTATAAAAGGGACCGTGCCCGCCATTGAAGCTTAGCAAGAACTCAAACCTTTGTTCAATCTTACCTATAACTTATCATTCCCGGCCTACCTTTGCTCAACTGGCCTCCCCTCTACTCTTGTCGACAGAGCGCTCTTACCCTTCCGTCCATAAAGGGAGCTTGAACGTCCCTACCCGACTCCCCCATTGTTCTTCTCCGAGTTCATCGTCTTCAGGCGAACGCCAACTTCACGATGGTAAGAATGGATCGAATTACTTTGGAGAAGAAGTATTCCTGGCCGTCCCCCACTCGCCGCCGTTCATTGCTACGATCCTTTGTCTCCGTGAAGGAGTCTTTCGCACCCCCAGCCGAGTCATCACCTATCAATGCAAGGCACTACGATTCTGTCCCAGGCATTGACCCGCAAAACTCTCGAGAACATCTTCAGTCCGTCCTTGAAAGTGGTCTCGGAGGCACCGACTTGGATTCACGAGATATGACATCGAGAACTATTAGCCCAGAGACCGACTTGGAAGGTGCTACAATACGTGTGGCGGACGGTGAAGAGACCACTGGGAGGATCCAAAGGGGTAATCAGAAGAGAAAGAAGAATACAAGAAGAACTACTGGCTCTGGTGAACATCGTATTGGGAAGAAGCGCGCCTCGGTTAGCAGAAGGCAGGTTTTTGAGTACTCACGCTTAGGAGCGATCCGGTCAGGTGTTGAAGGACGCATTCAGTTCAGGATCTATTGGAAGCCAACTTGGGGCACTCTTGAGGACCTCCGGGGAACTCGGGCACTGAAAGAAGCTGAGGAGCTCATCGTCAATGAGTACGACGAAGTTACGTGGGATGAGGAGATGCGTAGGTCTGGTCGTCTTGCTTCAGCTACAAGATCGAGTAGATGACATTAATGAATAGCCTGTTAGGCGCTATCTTATGTTTTTGACTTTACCTTCGCAGACAGTTTCTCCTGCAGTTGATGTCGACCTACTTCATAAGCCGCTTTTCACAACCAGACTGGCCAACAAGCCAACAATTGACTCACGAGCATTGGGGTGAGCTTTCATCGACTGCTAACCTCTCATCGAAGTCGGAAGACATTGATTAACTGCTTGCCAGAGTACTTATTGGTCGACTCTGCCTAGATCCCTAGGGCGATAACCGCGCTGACAAATCTGCGTGTGGTGCTTACGGCGGCGGGGGCCAGATATTTGTGGCGTCGGTTTGCAGCAAAAGGATGATGTGAAAAGTTCGACTCACGTTGTGAGTGGCGCAGTGAAGAAAGATAAAAGGCAGCCGGATATCCTTGGTGGAAAGAACAGCGGCAACCTGCACGTTTGCAGCCGAAGCGCAATAGCAATGCTGCAAGCATTGGAATGTCGCGCGGAATCGTTGACCGGCGGTGGAATGTTACGAATTGGGTATTGGACGTAACGGAGCTGTCTGGCGTCGGGTTCTGCGGTGCCTATGATTGCAACAAGAGATTAGGCCGCGACTTCCTCGTTTGCGAGCCGGTTGGCTGCTTCCGCAATTACAGCATCACATTTTCGAGTGACCGTGCCCAGGCCGTCCCAACTGGAGTCGGGCTTGGAGAGCTGAATGCAGAGCGTCCAGCGGACTGGGAGTGACGAGGCTGCACACTTCACCAACATGTTCTCAAACGTCTACGCGCCTCTCTACCGCGACAACACCTTTCACTCCGAAATCCAGCTAGTTCCAACTGCTCGAGGAAATCCTTGGGATTTCTTAATGATCAACCGCAGTTTGCCAGGGGGCCGTCCGACCCTGGACATGAGCGACCAAGCTCCATTTCCTTCAAGCCTGTGCTAAGCACAGACAATCTAGGTATAACAGACACGTATTCTGCGCCTATCTCAGGTCGTCCAGGCCGCACACCAAGTCTTATGACATGAGAAATTGTTTAGCGAACGAACCAAAGAATGTGTTTAAGCCACGCTTGGTTGCAAACCAGTATTTACTGTCATTGGGCGTCAAACAGACGCGGCCACCACCAGTTATCACAAAATCATCCCCAACGAAGGACCAATGGTTGGAGGCGTTGAAGTAGCTCTTCTCGGTGTTAGATTTTCCAAGGATTGGAAGTTTGGTTCGGTGAGCAAAAAGCTACGACCACAACGTATTGGGGTGACAATTGTTTCGTGTGCTTGCTGCCTCTTTCACCAGTCAGTCGCTTGTACCATTGTAGTTAGCTTCAAGCACCAAGGAGTTGTTGAGACCCAAGACTTGGCCATAGGCAGGCAGCCAACTACATTCAAGTTTATTGATGACGACGAGGTAGTTATGCTTATTCGTACAGCCCTCTCTGTTCTTGGATGCAAGATGCCAGGTCGAATGGTCAACGCCATCTTTTTGGCGCATAGAATTCTAAAGGGTGGAGCTTAAATGGGCCATTAGTGCACCTCAAAAGCACGTCTTGGTGTCAAGAGAGTTCCATCGAACACACGAGTGTACTGACGAAGTGACAGACAGTGTCGGGAGAAAAGCTACTCGGGTTGTACCAGCAGACCTGGCATGCTCTTTGGGCAAAGCCTCCCGACTCACAACTAACTTGACACACTAATCTCAGCCAGTCAGCTAGATTGCTTTGGGTCATGTTGACGCTATGAAGTAGATAACTCGCAGGCCTCTCGGCCGCTACGGCGCGGCGGCTGTATCTTAAGTCCAAGGAAAATGCTGAAAAGAGCGTGAAGAAGAGGAAGCATTTTTTGCACAAAATAATAAGAGTGTCTTCTTCCAAATTTCCAAACAACTGTGCTGTGAGACAACCGCAAACCCATTGGGTGTGGGCCCCATACCAAATACTAGCCACTTGACTGGCTGTAGTGCGTGCCAATCAGTACATTCTCATCAGGGCTAATATTTAAGCTGCGACTGAGTCGCAAGCCACTTATTCTCTCAGAAGTTGCAATTTCGATTATTTCCAGTTCCCCAGCCATACAGCCAATTTTGGTGTAAGACAGTTCAACTTGAAAAGGTACTTTGCAGACGATAACTTGCAACTGCATTCCAGTCTCGCCATTATGGAATGTAAGCATGTCAGCTTGATTTGTGCAAGAAGAGGAAGGCATTGCAGAGAGCCGCTACCGTGACGGTCGCAAGGCTTCCTGCCAGGTCACGACGGTGAGGACTTCGAGATTTGCCGCTTGCGCTGAAGTCGACCCGGTCGATATCTGGTTTGACCTTTGCTTAGGCAAACCAGAAGTTCAAGCCATCTTCCAAGGATTTCTCAGACAATACTGGGAGCAGTCTGTGACGTTGCGTCCCTGCCTTGGCCCTGAGGAATATGAGGAAGTACATACGATTAATTGCGCGTCAACAATAGAAGATGTATGGTGTTTGCAGGTTAATCATGCGGATGATCGGATCATGAAACCAAAAAGGCTCCAAGATCGCGAGAATGCCGGAATCTGGTCATTGAAGTATTCTTCTAGGAGGACTTCATCGACTTGTGGTCCTACTTATGAGATAGCTCGTGTGAGTTTTTAGCCCCTTTTCTTACTATTCATGGTGGGCTTCTCTAATTATTAATAACTATAGTGGATTCCCGAGTTTGGCACAGAAGTGGGATTAAACTTGGGGCAGACTTTTCAAAAAGATGGCGCGACCACAGACGATATTTTAACTATTCTTTCCACTGTATGGAAGAAAGCGGATGACATTAGGTGTTCACCTGATGATAGAGTCTCTTTCACCATGTACGTTGTCGAAATGGGCCTAGGAGGTTGGCGACCAGGCGCGTTAGAACTGAAGAAGTATAATCACGTAATGCTCGCGTGGGTCAGAGATCCGGTTAACCCGTCCATTACGCGGACCATATGCTGGTCTAAGGTTGATCATAACAAGCTCCGACAGCTCAGAATCGAGCGAGAACAGCGTCCAAGGTATATAGCCCCTATAATTTGATCCATTACTTGTAAGAGAAAAAATAAGCTAACGTGCGGCATTCGTGCTACATAGCTTGAGCTACGCACTCTCCGTGGTTCCAACGTTAAGCCTATGCTTTACCACTATGTTTACAGTCCGAGCAATAAGGGATAATGCCTTTGAGGCTGGATTTACGACCTGTGACGAAGTACTTAACCCTGGAACACTCGAGGAGGGCGTCGACTTCGTAGAGTTGCGCTGGAAAAAGGAGTTTAGGGGTGATGATAAGCATATTATGCCAATGAATTATCGCAGATTTCTTGATCTTTGGAACGAAGTGCGAATGGTATTGGGATCCCGATCTGGCTTCCGTCCCTACTCAGTTCGTGTTGGCGCGGTGGGTAGATTAGATGGTAAGTTGCCATTGCATCAGAATGCCTTCTTGCCTCTAACCATTTGTCCACAGGATGTCTTCAACCGGCACTTCGAAACTTTATAGTATCTCATTCCACAGAGGTCTTTGAGCGGAGTTATCGGCAAGTTAGAATACGTGCGAACCTGGCGAATATCGCATTTGGCGACAAGGCAAGACATGACGCAGCGCTTTGGGAAGCCATCTCCAATAGCTTCCATAAAAGAACTTGACCAATTTGAATCGAGAAAAGACATAACAGAGCTTCGCAAGGAGCTGAAACACATCACAGCCCAAGAAGGGTCATCTAGTCAAGAAGCAAAGAAAGTCTCATCGCGAATTAGATATATTCTAGACTGCCTAGAGAAGCTACAAGTTCGGGAAAAGCGCCGCAAGTACTTTGAGGAAGCAGACAAGTTGCGAGCAATGAACCAATCGACAGCACATCTCAAACAAGAGGTGCAAAATTTAAAAAGAAAGAGGTTCGGGAATAGCAGTGCCTACGCTGCCAAACTGGCTAGTCTTTTATTCCAAACAAACATCACTTCCGGCCTAGCCGACCGTCTTGTCGCTTATATAAGCGGAGCAAGCGGGCAGAGCGAGATTGGAGATATTTATTCTTTCGGAAAGAAATCAAAGGAACCCGCGCGATGTCTCTTTGGCTGCGGAACCTTCTTTAACACGTCAGCGCTCACAAGACATGTTCGCCATCTACACATGCATATCTTCAAGGCCCGGTTCTTGTGCCCCGAGTGCAAGCGGATGAACCTTGGAGATGTGGTGATTGAGGCGAATCCCTGTGCCTGGAGTAGCCATGTTCGAAGAGTCCATGGTGCAGTTCACACCCCAAACCTAGAGTCTCTACCGGATGTTCTTTGTCTTTTGTGCGACCGACAATGCAAACAGAGAGGGTTCTCTCGCCACCTGAACACTCATAGTGAGCTGTTTGACGAGCCAATCTCATGTCCAGCATGCCTACAAGAGGGCAGGAAGGTCGAAATCGAGGGCATGGGAGGCTGGATCACCCACGTAGCAGACGTTCACGGAGGTGACAGAGTTCTCGGAGCCATAGAGGTCTACAAGACCTCATGTTCAGATGCTGAAATCGCTCCAATAGACATGAACCCTGCCGAGGCGCAATACAGAAAAGAGCTTGGGAGAAGACGACAAGTGGACCGCAAGAGAAAGGTAGGTAACGCTATACCATCGGCTCCCCTCCCATATAAACGGGCGAAAACGGCCTTATCACAACCTTACGCACATACTAGTGGTGACTCGGATTGGGAAGTCTCATCACCTGATCCTCACGCGGATGAAGAGTTCTGGGTTGATGGAAGGGAGTAGTCAGCCTGGCCGTTTTGAAAGCGACCAGACCCGTGACTAGAGATGAGTGATGAGTATAAAAGGGACCGTGCCCGCCATTGAAGCTTAGCAAGAACTCAAACCTTTGTTCAATCTTACCTATAACTTATCATTCCCGGCCTACCTTTGCTCAACTGGCCTCCCCTCTACTCTTGTCGACAGAGCGCTCTTACCCTTCCGTCCATAAAGGGAGCTTGAACGTCCCTACCCGACTCCCCCATTGTTCTTCTCCGAGTTCATCGTCTTCAGGCGAACGCCAACTTCACGATGGTAAGAATGGATCGAATTACTTTGGAGAAGAAGTATTCCTGGCCGTCCCCCACTCGCCGCCGTTCATTGCTACGATCCTTTGTCTCCGTGAAGGAGTCTTTCGCACCCCCAGCCGAGTCATCACCTATCAATGCAAGGCACTACGATTCTGTCCCAGGCATTGACCCGCAAAACTCTCGAGAACATCTTCAGTCCGTCCTTGAAAGTGGTCTCGGAGGCACCGACTTGGATTCACGAGATATGACATCGAGAACTATTAGCCCAGAGACCGACTTGGAAGGTGCTACAATACGTGTGGCGGACGGTGAAGAGACCACTGGGAGGATCCAAAGGGGTAATCAGAAGAGAAAGAAGAATACAAGAAGAACTACTGGCTCTGGTGAACATCGTATTGGGAAGAAGCGCGCCTCGGTTAGCAGAAGGCAGGTTTTTGAGTACTCACGCTTAGGAGCGATCCGGTCAGGTGTTGAAGGACGCATTCAGTTCAGGATCTATTGGAAGCCAACTTGGGGCACTCTTGAGGACCTCCGGGGAACTCGGGCACTGAAAGAAGCTGAGGAGCTCATCGTCAATGAGTACGACGAAGTTACGTGGGATGAGGAGATGCGTAGGTCTGGTCGTCTTGCTTCAGCTACAAGATCGAGTAGATGACATTAATGAATAGCCTGTTAGGCGCTATCTTATGTTTTTGACTTTACCTTCGCAGACAGTTTCTCCTGCAGTTGATGTCGACCTACTTCATAAGCCGCTTTTCACAACCAGACTGGCCAACAAGCCAACAATTGACTCACGAGCATTGGGGTGAGCTTTCATCGACTGCTAACCTCTCATCGAAGTCGGAAGACATTGATTAACTGCTTGCCAGAGTACTTATTGGTCGACTCTGCCTAGATCCCTAGGGCGATAACCGCGCTGACAAATCTGCGTGTGGTGCTTACGGCGGCGGGGGCCAGATATTTGTGGCGTCGGTTTGCAGCAAAAGGATGATGTGAAAAGTTCGACTCACGTTGTGAGTGGCGCAGTGAAGAAAGATAAAAGGCAGCCGGATATCCTTGGTGGAAAGAACAGCGGCAACCTGCACGTTTGCAGCCGAAGCGCAATAGCAATGCTGCAAGCATTGGAATGTCGCGCGGAATCGTTGACCGGCGGTGGAATGTTACGAATTGGGTATTGGACGTAACGGAGCTGTCTGGCGTCGGGTTCTGCGGTGCCTATGATTGCAACAAGAGATTAGGCCGCGACTTCCTCGTTTGCGAGCCGGTTGGCTGCTTCCGCAATTACAGCATCACATTTTCGAGTGACCGTGCCCAGGCCGTCCCAACTGGAGTCGGGCTTGGAGAGCTGAATGCAGAGCGTCCAGCGGACTGGGAGTGACGAGGCTGCACACTTCACCAACATGTTCTCAAACGTCTACGCGCCTCTCTACCGCGACAACACCTTTCACTCCGAAATCCAGCTAGTTCCAACTGCTCGAGGAAATCCTTGGGATTTCTTAATGATCAACCGCAGTTTGCCAGGGGGCCGTCCGACCCTGGACATGAGCGACCAAGCTCCATTTCCTTCAAGCCTGTGCTAAGCACAGACAATCTAGGTATAACAGACACGTATTCTGCGCCTATCTCAGGTCGTCCAGGCCGCACACCAAGTCTTATGACATGAGAAATTGTTTAGCGAACGAACCAAAGAATGTGTTTAAGCCACGCTTGGTTGCAAACCAGTATTTACTGTCATTGGGCGTCAAACAGACGCGGCCACCACCAGTTATCACAAAATCATCCCCAACGAAGGACCAATGGTTGGAGGCGTTGAAGTAGCTCTTCTCGGTGTTAGATTTTCCAAGGATTGGAAGTTTGGTTCGGTGAGCAAAAAGCTACGACCACAACGTATTGGGGTGACAATTGTTTCGTGTGCTTGCTGCCTCTTTCACCAGTCAGTCGCTTGTACCATTGTAGTTAGCTTCAAGCACCAAGGAGTTGTTGAGACCCAAGACTTGGCCATAGGCAGGCAGCCAACTACATTCAAGTTTATTGATGACGACGAGGTAGTTATGCTTATTCGTACAGCCCTCTCTGTTCTTGGATGCAAGATGCCAGGTCGAATGGTCAACGCCATCTTTTTGGCGCATAGAATTCTAAAGGGTGGAGCTTAAATGGGCCATTAGTGCACCTCAAAAGCACGTCTTGGTGTCAAGAGAGTTCCATCGAACACACGAGTGTACTGACGAAGTGACAGACAGTGTCGGGAGAAAAGCTACTCGGGTTGTACCAGCAGACCTGGCATGCTCTTTGGGCAAAGCCTCCCGACTCACAACTAACTTGACACACTAATCTCAGCCAGTCAGCTAGATTGCTTTGGGTCATGTTGACGCTATGAAGTAGATAACTCGCAGGCCTCTCGGCCGCTACGGCGCGGCGGCTGTATCTTAAGTCCAAGGAAAATGCTGAAAAGAGCGTGAAGAAGAGGAAGCATTTTTTGCACAAAATAATAAGAGTGTCTTCTTCCAAATTTCCAAACAACTGTGCTGTGAGACAACCGCAAACCCATTGGGTGTGGGCCCCATACCAAATACTAGCCACTTGACTGGCTGTAGTGCGTGCCAATCAGTACATTCTCATCAGGGCTAATATTTAAGCTGCGACTGAGTCGCAAGCCACTTATTCTCTCAGAAGTTGCAATTTCGATTATTTCCAGTTCCCCAGCCATACAGCCAATTTTGGTGTAAGACAGTTCAACTTGAAAAGGTACTTTGCAGACGATAACTTGCAACTGCATTCCAGTCTCGCCATTATGGAATGTAAGCATGTCAGCTTGATTTGTGCAAGAAGAGGAAGGCATTGCAGAGAGCCGCTACCGTGACGGTCGCAAGGCTTCCTGCCAGGTGACGACGGTGAGGAGAACTCACCGCAATATGGAGGAGACGTACGAATCTGCACTGCATGTATCAAGAGAGAACGGAAGCGAGCTGCACGGAAGAAGTTTCGGAAATCGAAGGAAGAAAATTTCTGGGGTCAGGACGAGGAGCGACGACGTGTGGTTATATTCAACACCCGCGAATTGAGGACTGGCAACCTTGCAGTGGCTTGCTTTCACAGCGGTTCCTCTGACCCAGCGACTTCTCCTAGCGCCCTGCAAATCAATGCTCCCATGCGAATCGCATGCTGTTGCAGACATCACGACGAAACGGTGGGCTTTCATGCCATATTTACCATTAAGGACTTTCAGGGTCACGTCGTTCCGCAGGTTATGTCAAGCCCTATCATAATTACGGACAATCACAAAACTCAAGTGTCGGAAATGATCACGTCGGTTCCAGTCCTTCACAATATTCCGCGGGTTGCCAATGGCGAAAATGGCGTGCTGAACGTCCAAAACGGGGCATTCGTACAAACAAACGATGAAAGGCCTGCTGCCCAAGACGGTGGACAGACACGATACCAATGTTCGACACTCAAAGAGATACGCACCAGCACCAGCACTTCGACGATAACGAATCGGATGCTATCTCGACCCGCATCGCCAAACCATGAAGGGCCCGCCAAGAAGAAGTCGAGTAGTTCCGAAGCTTCCAAGGGACCTACGATGATGAAGCTGCACACCTCAAAGCTCGGGCGAGTCTTTGGGTCTCTCCATGGTCAACCGCAGTTTGGCAACGGTTTCCAAACACAGGATAGTAGTGACCAAGTTCCATTGCTCTCCGAGCGTTCAGCAAGTACGGACAATCTGGCTATGATAGAAACGCATTCTGTGCCTACCTCAAGCTATCCTAGTCGCGCTATGAGCCCCCATGGGTTGAGCAACAGGTTTGCGAACGGAGCGCAGAATCCGGTTACACCCCACTTATTTGCCAATCATTCATTGTCCTTGGACGTCAATCAGACGCAAGCACTACCAGTCATTCATAAGATTATCCCGGACGAAGGACCGAAGTTTGGTGGTGTTGAAGTAACTCTTCTCGGTGTTGGATTTTCTCAAGGATTAGACGCCTGGTTTGGCGAGCAAAAGGCTACTACCACAACATACTGGGGTGATTCGTCTCTCGTGTGTTTATTGCCTTCTTCCCCAGTTGCTGGTAACGTCGTGGTTACGTTCAAGGACCAAGGGGTTCTTGAGTCCAATCACGTCCTCTTGAATAGCCGGCTAGCTACCTTCAAGTACATTGACGACAACGAGAGTATGGTCATTCGCACAGCTCTCTCTGTCCTTGGACGAATAATGTCGGGCCATATAGACGACGTCATCGATTTGGCGCGCAGAATTTTAAATGACGGAAATTAATTAAACATTGACTATGCCAATGTACTCTACTTTCTCCAGATTGCCACAAGACATCCTTTCAGGATCACAGGATAGAGTACGGGCGTTCTCCGAAACGTGTCACCATAGTGTTAAGCAGGAGGGCTACCGCATTTTTCTCGTCCGGTTTCTTAGCTTGATGGAGGCACTCTTCGTCTTGAAGAACGGTAGGCTCATTATTGGCTCCTGGCCAATCAACCGTGCCATTTCCCCTCTGTTGTGTCACAGACTCCAGCAAAGAAATGCTGAATCTCTAGTGGCACTTAAACGGCTTTATGAATGCCCATCATCTCAAGTTCTTATATGCCCGCAAGTTGAACTTATTTAATATGTACCTCAAATGTGTCCATATCATCAATCTCCGCCTCTTCCATCCTGGCATGCTCCTCTAGTATGTCTCCGTCAAACCAAATCCCAATATAAGTGCTTCCCCCGAGGTTGTATCTGCTCAATCTAGATCTCGGTGGAAGCCGGGTGGAAGGGATTCCCCCAGGAAGTTGAATTGCAAGTACAAAGTATTACCCTACCGGGTTGTTCGAAGTATTTTATGATCATTGGGTTAACGTCATTAATCATCTGGATATTGCTCCTTGATATTGGATACGAATCTACAAGATTCTGGATCAAAACGTCTGAAAAACTTTCCTGCCATGGGAAACATGGTATCGTCGATGTTTCTAGAATCGTGTATGAGCTCGATGTTATCAGCAGCTACTACGTTTGGCTCAGACCCATTGCTTGGACTATTCCAAAGGACCGACAGTTAGCCCAAGCGAATAGAAACAAGCAACGGACTTGCTACATCGTAGGTGAAAGGGCTTCTGGGGCTTACAAGCATATAAAGTAGAACTGATTCGGTGGCCAAACAGGTACGCGTGGGTGTTCGCCCGGGGCGGCAGTGTCTGCCTCATCATCTGGGTCTCGAGACGCTGCCACAGGCAAATGTCGTGTGCCTTGGTCAGGCCAGCCTGTGATCGCACCTACCCAACCATAATGCCTGTGCCGAAAAACCTGACCGATCTTATATGGCACTGATTGATTGCTGTCTAAATCTCTCCGAGACATGGGTGGTATCACGTCATCTTGGTCTCGAACCAAACGCCAGTGATCCCACGGGTCTCCCAAGCCGCGATTTACATGACGGGCAAACCCATGACGAAGTGCAGTGAAACTGTTATACATGGGCCAAAGATACTTCTCTACCAGCCATGCGTCTTCGGGCCATGACCCAGCAAATCGGTGTAGAAAACTTGCTAACCTATCGTTCCATTCAAAAGTGTTAGGAGGCGTCAGAAACAGAGATGACCACATGGCTGAATACAGTGCAGCATCCACGTTCATTGCGTCGTTACCACGCAGAAGCTGGCTCAATTCTGGGTGAGCGTCGCCTTGTAGTTCCAGAATCCTCACAAAAGTCGCCTTGATATTTTGAGCGGTCCTTAGCACCATTGTTATGAGGGGCACAGGAGCTAAAAATGCATCTGTGTTTGTTTGCCATGCATAGTGAGCTAGTAGGTTGTGTAGGTTCGGGGAGTGGCTATGAATAGAGTGTTCTATTTGTATTTGCATTACATTTTGCGAATTATTCCTCAACTAACCCCTGCTCATCCCCCGGCTTTGTGTATGTTGCTTCAGGTTTCGCGCCTCTGGTCCTATCCTTTATGATGTTGGATTTATCAATGGCTTCTTTGTCATCTCGCTCTGGTATTTGTTAGTCGCCTCGGTCAACGGGAAAGTGCACTACTTGAGTACCTAGCTGTTCATCAGAGTCGGCCTGCTCCGGATCAATCGGGTCTTCGACCTGGGCCCTGTCACTCTGCACTGGGATTGGCTCATTACCCTTCGAGCCGGCAACGTAGCTGTCATCCTGATTTTGGCCATCGGGGATGTCATCATCCGTATCTCTGGAATTTTTTGACATTGTTTTTCATGTAATTGAATTTACGGTAGTAAAAAGTATATCAAGTGAGGACCCAGCTTCAGTGGTGAGGCAGGAGATTTCTTTTCATCAGATGCCCTGATGGTTTATATGTCTGGCACGTACATGGCATTAAAATGATCTCCGCCATGGACAGTAACGATCCTGCTATGAAAGTCGTGAGCGTTAGTATAGACGTAAGTTTGCAGTCAATTCTGAAACGGGACATGGTAGCAAACTCTAATACTCGTCAGATGACGGAAAGCCCTCCCGGCCATTTCGATTCCAGGACTGAAATGCAACGTAATAGCCGCATCATCCACAGGGAACTAACGGATAGCGCTCGCTTTTGGAGTACCAAATTTTCCGATCGATATCCATGGTTAGATGCGTACTGTAGATTAATTCACAGCTATAGCTCCGTAGATGACCTCTCAGGAATGCTAGGCTCTGCACCCGAGCGGAATGCTTTGGTAGCAGATAACACCTTGTGAACTCACCAGGCTCCGACAATTTTGTCCTGCTTCAATGTGCCAAAAACTCCGCAACAGGTAAATTTTGGGACTCAACACTGACATCACAATGATGTGATTGAAGCAAGGCGGAGTAGCAAGAAAAATTGGACTACAAAGATTTGTGAAAGTAGCTGCAGGTCACGAAGGATCTGTGACGGGAACATTTCACATTACCAAATATCTTCGCTGCGGAGGGGAAAAGTCAGTTACGCGACAGGACCTGACACCATAGACTTTATGCAGACTGATTGGAACAACCTCAATCTCACAGATCCATGACTGTTTCTGACTGTTTTGACTGTGTGTACCGCCCTAAAAAGCGCTACGTAAACTGAAACCAGTGCACCTAGTTACAATGAACGCATCGACCACCATGTATCACAATTACTGACGTGCAAAGCCCGTCATACATTACAACAGCCAACGTCCGTATAGGTAAGAAACGGCTATATAAACCGACCTCTCTCAGCGCAGTCAGTAGCCATGTTGAGCATCATTTCATGACCTAAATATCGAATTTTACACGGCAGCCAGAAAACGACCAGCATGAGCGGAAACGATAACCCCGGAAATTTTGCCAACCGGTAAGTACATCGCACACTTGCCGTTCAAGATGGAGGCTAACTCGCTGCAGCGATAAAGAGGAGGTTCAAGAAATTGCGTCCAAGGGCGGGCAGGCGAGCCATTCGGGCGGCTTCGCCAGCATGGATCCCGATAAACAGGTGTGTCTTTCGTCCCATGTACAAGAGTACGAATACTCATGCTCGTAACTTAGAGGGAAATTGCTTCTCAGGGAGGACAGGCGTCGTCTGGATCTTTTGGACCTGGAAGTGACAAAGCTAGGGAGGCTGGAAGGAAGGGTGGCTCCAAGTAGGCCATGGATATAGAAATGCAAGTGCGCAGTAATGTCGTACGTGAACTAGAATGCTACTTTATCCAAATCAATATGACACGATAAGCACTCTTTTTTACTTGGCCACCATCATTTGGGGTGTTAAGAAAGTAAAGTGCGCAAATAAAGGCCCAAATGCGTATGTTTGTCAGATTTGTCAGAAGGGTCAAGATTGCATTAAGAGTATTATTACTAAGACACAAATCTCTATTTGCACAGCTGTGTGTCTCACATTTGACTCATCCACCCCACCCTGGCCGCCAAGGCAAACAGGCCATCGTACGAGTTAAAAGAGTGGCGATGGTGGCAGTTGTGGGATCATAGTTAAAAAAAGGGAAAGAAATAAGAGAGAACACAGTAGATATGCAATTATCAACTTTAAATTAAGATACAATTCACAAAATATCAGTTTGTGAAGTTACAAGGACGCGAGCGAGGGGTCAAGTGCTACTTGGATAAAGCAATTGCTCCTAAGGAGAGTAAAACAGGTCCCAAAAACGAAGCTCTCAGCCTCTGACTTAAGCTATCTAAGTCCCTAAAACGAGACCATTTTCTCATTGTCCCAATTTGGATCATATGGATCGGAACTGCTATTTGAGTCTTCACTTTCAGTGGATGAACCGTTTGGCGGCTCCGTGCATTGACTGTTTCCCCACGACGGCGTGGATGAAGACATCGCTGTAGTGTGACCATCCATTAGCAAAATCCATAGGCATTAGATAACTTCTGTTATCCATTTCATCAACTGCTTACCGTCTGGACTCGGCGGAAACCCTAGACCGCGAATGCGCCATGGGCCCTCGCTCTGTAACTTGCACACATACTTTGAAGCCTCACTCTCCAGCCATATATCAATATTCGGATCATGGCAACTAGCATGGCCAACGATATAGTTTTTTAGTCCAGATATTTCTTGCACGAGGAAGAGATACTCTGTCTTGAGATCCTTGTGGCGCTTCTCCAGCCTAGAGTTTCTCTTTTCGAGCTCATCAACCCATTTCTTCTTGCGCTTTCTGCACTTTGAAGCCGCGACGCGGTTGCGCTCAAGGGATCTTTCCCGATGAGTAGTGGGCTCGGCATCTCCATTTATACCACTGCCCATGCCCTTTGTTGCAGCTTGCTTTGTTTGCCGTTGTCTTTTGGGCGGGCTGGGGGTTGCTTTAGGGGGTGGCCTCTGCTTTGGCCTTGCAAGCATCGATCTTGTGTCGTGTAGTTTGACCGATTTATCTTTTTGGCGTGGACTTGGGGACTTTGTTTCGCTCGCGTCGGCTGGCAAAGTCATGACTTTGTCTAAGTCTGCCTCTAATTGGAGCGAGGGATATATGTGGTACGGAGTCGCGCTTGTTTTGCTAGACTGGTCTAAAAGAGACGCTATCTCTGGCACTAGGGGTGAAGTGTCAAATGGTGCCCAGGTTGGCGCCATCTCAACGGACGGCCATGCCGGAGCGGGCGGTTTCAGGAAAAGCGCAGTGTCTGTAGAATTCAATAGGGCAGGGTCCAGAGTGCTCTTGATATCTCCAGTGGAGATGCCATTTAAGATGTGGGTGTTTGACATATCGTAGAATACTACCTAGTTTAATAATAAGCGTCAATGATCTACATGTCACTTCGGAGGCGACGACGTTGAGGGGATGTATACTTTTGTCTCGGCCACTACAGTCAGAAGATGGAGGAATATTGCATTGTCAATGGGTTGAGTCGATGGTTGGTGATTTCTTTTACGGTACAAGTTGCTGGGAAACAATTGACGCCTTTTTGACCTTCTATCCGCGCGGGTCTTGACATGACAGTCGTCTGACGAGTCGACGTCGCTCTTTGCTCAATTGATGACTGGGAATGCTACTGTGGCGTTGATCACTTCCTCTTCCACCAGCTTAAACATTGAACACGCGGCTCCACCACAAAATTTGTCCAGCTCAGCCTATAACCATTATTAGCTCGCAGATCCGGAGCAAACCCCGGAGAGAAGAGCTTGCCTCCATTGGCACAGCCAAAAGTTGTTCCGTGAGCCTCGACGAGGCAAGATGGGCTTCTCGTTATTGACCGTGCTTGCTCCGATGATATCATCGATGTCATAATGCAATCATATTCCCTTGTTCCTGTTTATCCTTGCTTGCACATGGAACCAGTGGAGCTGCCTGTCCCACAGCACAACAGGCTCAGCGAATAGTTACAAGAAGGCATCGGTTGGTCGTCCACTCAGCATCGCTGTCGGCGCAAGTCCCGGTTTCGTTTCGACGGAGAAACAAAAAAAAAGAGACAACACAGAGTCACATTTTGCTGGGACCTCGAAAGCTGTTGAAGCCCACAGCCCATGTGTTGCCCAAGTCCCCCAAATGGTCTAATAAACAGCCCGCGCAACGTATGGGAAGATGCGCATCGGGTTAATCCCAAGGCCAGGAGAAACACATCCGTGAACAAGTCGCGCGTCTTGCTCTTAATGTCCGCCGATACACGCAATACATTGTATGATTCACCGTATTGACCTACCTGTAACTTGCCCAGATCAAATGGGCTAGAACTTCTAACTCTGTAATCTGTCCCTAGAGCCTACATCCCCCCCCCAAAAAAAAAGAGACTTCTCGTTCCATCCTTTTGTCACCACGCAAACTTGACCTTAGCGTCCTACTTGTCATGCCCTTTATAGTCTGACTCTCACCGGGCAGAGGGCCCCTCCACAGATGATTATCGCGGTGCATATCAGTCCGGAATTGCAATTTCACATAAACAAAAAACAAGCAACTACTCCAACAGGGACAACTTCTGCCCTTGTACAACCCGAGATTGTTAATGGGACAGAAGGGGCCAATCTTCGACCCATTCAATAGACAATTTTATTATATTGAACAACCAACTTATATACCTCCATGATATTCAGCGAAGGATGTCATGCCTTCTTCCTGTGCCCGCGACCACTACCCTATTTCTCCCTGGATATTGTATGTCGTTGTTGTTGTTGTTGCTGCTATGGCTGCTGCAGCTGCTACGGCGACTGCGCTCGTCTTCGAACCACGAGCTTAGCGACTTACCCTCAAAAGTCAAGTCTGTGTCGTCAATCTCCATAGCCCGAACCCAGGTGTGAGAGTCGAGGTCGATTTCGGGTGCCAGAGGATCGAGGGAGCGAAGGCCGGGAACGAAATAATATGTGTCTTCTGACGTGGTCATGTTATCGTGTCGTGTAGAACGGTTGTGGTTGTTGCATTTAGAGCTTGGATTCAGGATACAGCTCCTTACGACCCTGAGCCGGCGAATGAAGGTTCTTAATATAGCCCGGCTTACTTAGTATTTTCCGCTTATATTGGTGGCGGCGCAAATCGCTGAAGCCTCACTACGTCATGTGGCGGTGGCAAATGCACTTTACGTCACCAGTCCCCGTGCCAGCTCAGGCACTCACCGTTGGCACCCGGAGGCCATTGTGTGGCAAGTTCAAAGGCTCAAGAGTAGTACCGTATATCTCTACATACTTTTAACAAGCCCGCTATTGCCCCGACCCCACGGGTAATTTTGCCATGTGTTCCAGCGTCATTTTTGGCTATGCAGGACCCAGATAAATACCGTCAAGTCCCGTGTAGTACTTTAATTGTCCGAATTTTAGACCAGTTACTTTTTAAAAAGAGCAAGGACGTATACACAAAACTATATCTCCTTGTTCCCCTTTTATAATAGTGGCATCGACTGGTATCATTTGCATATATAGCGGCTCTTCACCCTAGGACGAGAACTAAAGTAAGTTGTTTACAATCTTTTCACCATGCTGCCGGTATTTCTCGGAAAGAGACTGGGGTAAATGTCTGTGGACGAACAGTGGCGCTGCGGCTTGCTTGGGAGTGCAGGACTGCTGCGCACAAGTATGACGTGTCCCAAACATTACCACCAGACTGCTTTGTTGCCCATCAAAATGAATATTACGCGGGATGACGTTTGGGATGATGACTGCAGACGTTTTAAAAATAGGCAACCTCGCCATTGCTAATACCCGCAATTTAGGTTTCAAATGCACCGGCAGATGTTTGGCAGCATATAAGTCACCATGGTCAGGAAAACTCTACAGCAAAGGGCCGCGACGAATGCAATGATTTCGTGCACGGCCGACAACAACCAGCAAGATAGCGAGATGCCTTGCATAGCGAATGGGCCAAGTCTACCGATTCGAAGTCTAAAACGCAAACACTCTGAGCCCAGTACCGCTGGAGGATCAGCTCAGCGACACATCGACTCGGTTTCATGGTGTCGACTCCTCCCTACAGATACTACATCACCCCAACCAACTGATCACTACAAGTTGCACCGGAATATGGGAGCATTTGAGCCTGCCTCAGCTTACAAGGTGCAGGGTGGCAACAAGAGCATCTACACTGGGTTGGGCCCGCCTTTGCAGACGACTTGTCAGAGTATTCGTCATTGTCAACGCCTTCACCTGCAGTAACTGCCAGCAGTCCACCGTCTTCACAGCATTTTGGCAAAATGACTTTGTCAACAGGGAGGCAAGAAGATACGTTCAGTCAGCCTGCGGGAACGTGTCTTAGTAGAAGACAAACGAGCTATGGGTATGAGAGCGGTTTTGCGGGGATGCAGGATAGGAAACGCATAGATCGCATTTTGGGGAATTTGATCCAGACAGAATACCGGCAAAGGGAGCATGCAAAGCAGCAGCTCAAGGTCATTAATGATTCAACGTGTAATATTCGGGATGGAGGAACGTGGTAGTATCCCAGCAATAAGTATGTGGATTGGTTAGCAGCGGAGACACACGATGGCCGGCCATGTGCAGCTATTGCTTGTTTGATTGCGAGCAGATTTGCCTACCCAAAAAAAAAAAGAAAAGAAATCGCTCTGAGCTCAGGGAAGTGGATGCTAAGGCTGTTGACGCTGGGAGGGGGGGGAAATTATTCTTATTCTTTTTTGGCGTAATGAAGGGGTCTCGGGGAAGGGAGGGAGGAAGTAGATTCCTTGATCTACCAAGCTTGGCTGGCGTGTGTGGCATGCGAGTTGGATGGACACTGTCTCGCTCCAGGCAAGCCTCTTCGTGTGGACAGTGTGAAATAGGGTGCAACAGATTACCAGCGACATAATTTCGACACTTAAAAACACCAGTTCAAATCTTTGCCAGCGCGTAAAATTTGGTAGTTTCTATAGTTCTTGCGCGAGCCGTGGACCAACAGAACATCATAGCCCATGTATCAGCTGCGGAGTCCACCGAATGCCCGTTCAGCCACCTGAAAGTTCGCTTTCAGGTGGCTGATAATTGTGGCTAACTCTATGATCCTCGGCCTTAGAGGAGAAGGTTCCAGAAACGTTTTGGCACGGAAAGGAAATGCACAGAGCACACAAAGATAATGGACGCAATTCAAGCTTTGGCAACGCAGCTAATGCGCGAGTTTCTGAAACACTGCGACATAAGCGATCATAGTCTCGAGCCTTTTAATCAATCTATTCTTGATATTGCTACAGTCGGTGAGCAAGATGAAAGCCAAGAATTTTAAATTTTTTAATTTTTTTTCTTAGGCAGGATGCTCACACTGCGCGTCTACAGGGCCAGAGTTGAACGTGGAAAAGAAGGTCCCCCACCTCCTCTGCCACCAAGTAACAATGATGCCGCTACTCCTCACCGATCGAAACGCGGATCGCCTACGGAAACAATCCGTCCGGGTAAAAGGAGCAAGGCAAGTTTGTCACCCCACGAAGTATCTGTCTGACCTTTGACCCTTGATGCGATATTTTTCTCCTTCCCAAAGTGCCCTATGCTGACAATATTAGATCCCGCCTCTGCCGACCAGGTGATGGACACCATCTTGCGAAAATGTGTAGAGCTACATTCCAAACGTACCCAAGTTCCTGGTGACAAGAGCTGGATACTAGTCAAGCCAGAAAGTACAATAGCGAGGTTAAGAAGTACGCCGAGGATATCGTTGTGTCAGATTTTCGTGATGCAGTGAGGAAACTTAACGAAGAAGGTGGTCATTTCGCGTGTAAGGCCATCCAAATTCTTTACAACGAAGCGCTATACTGGGATATTATGGCGACTGATACATGGGCGCCCGGGCGCCCAATTAGACTTCTTTATGTTTTACCTTCTATAAAATCAAGAAAAATAGCTTAAAATTCGATAAAAGTTTCCACAGCATGTAAAGAACTATATCTATACTCTCAAACTATTAATATCCAAGCATATGGCAAATTTGAAGAGTTGTAGGTTATCAAGCCAGACGCTTAGTCATGATTTCCCAAAAGTCGCGCGCCCGGGCGCCCGAATATAAATATGACAGCCTTAAACACCCAAATATAATAAATAAAAATTCAAAACTGAAAAAAAAAACCTACTGCCATATGTATTGTGTGAATATATATCCCAGAATAGCTTTTTTGTAACTTTTGACATGTATTTTATCGGGTTGTCATTGAAAACGTCAAATACCTATAAATGGGCGCCCGGGCGCCCATGTATCAGTCGCCGGATCTATTATCCAGAAGCAGGCGGACGTTCTGGACCCGCTCAGGTTGCGGGCCACTAAAGGCCCTGCAGATGGCTCTGGAGACGCAGAGAGAAGGCCGCGAAAGAGTTCTCGACAGCACTCGGCCTACGTGGATTTAGCCCTACTAGTCAACAGAAATACCGCAGGCTTTGGAAGAATCTTGCAAATTGGCGAAAGGCTGGTGTCAAGATGATACTATTCTATCGTACAACACAATTTGATAATTTTTGCGAGAAATACTCCGAAGAGGCGACGACTCCTCTAGACAAAAAGGTACTCTCATTGGAGGACAAGTATCGCCCTCACATCCAGCAACTTGAGCATCGAGTGATGAAAGAGGCCCGGGGCGATATGACTGGGCGCATTTGATTGCAGGAGCCATTCATTATGGAGAAGATAAAGGTCCCGGAAAAATCGTGGAACAATGCCAACAACCCGTGGCTTTCCGATGCAGAAGAGAGTAAGGCCCAATCGAGTGCAGGGGCATTTCAGGCGCCGGACGGCAACCAAAATGGCCAAAATGGCGAAAATTCAGACCAATCTGTCTTCATCACCCTCATTCCCAGGGACGAGAAGCTCGTTTATGTCTGTCCCATTGTCACCATCCATAAAGGGGACTATTTGGGGGTTTTCTCGGGAAATATTCGATATTCGGATGCCTTCGACAAAAAGTGTGGTGTTTGTGGACCAACGAAGGACCTTTGGCTAGATTACGGTCAGGTCACAGGAGTGCTAAACCAGATGAAAGTATCGCCACCGTACGGGACCGAGAACGTGCGCCTCGAATGGGAGCTTATTGACATTTCGGTGGGCATGCAGCGTCACCAAGCATGGAGGGTTGCAGTTCGCGCTCTCAGGACGATCAAGCCGTTTGAAGAGCTTATCCGTGCAGCTCGTCACGAGGACCAATATCTTCTGCATCAGGAGCCTGCTAATGCCAAAAATGGCTTTTTGTCAGAGGGATAATGATATTAATACATACGTCCATTGTCAGACAGCGATCATTTCGTATGGCAGAAAGCTAAATAGATTGGTACATACTATAGTAAGGCTGTGCGATGTGCCAGTCTTGGACCCTTTCGCCTTCGATCACGTATTTGTTACGTGCAAAAACAGCTTCCTCTTGCTCCAAACTCTTCAAAAATTCGACTTATTTCAACGTCGCGATTTCAACCAAATGGCTCTACATGCATATGAACCATGAGAAAAATCGACATGCCAATGTTCGGCTTCACACGTCGTGGATTTCAAGAGTTATTTTACAGTATGAAGTCTAAAGGAAATGCTATTTACTTGGGTATACCTTAAGAAACCCCACCAGATGCCCCACTTTCGTTTTATGAACGAGATTGCAATCAGTAAAGCCATTTTTGGCAGCACGGGACGCAATTGAGTACCGCGAAGTACTGAAAAGTACTCTCGTCAGCCCAAATGCTGAAAAGAGCGTGAAGAGGAAGCAAACGCCCAGCAGACCGCACAAGTAAAGCAGCCGATTTTGGCTACTACGGGCTACAGGCGCAAAGGGCCTCTTGAGTCCACCCACCCAATGTGCCCCGTTTAACGGCAATAAAATTTATCATCTCCGAAAATTGCCTCATCACCATGCTTAGACGAAAATACGTCTTAATCGACAGAAAAGGCTCCTCTCAGCTAGTGGCTATGACAGCAGACTTTGGGGAAGTTCGATCTCATATTGGCTTCCCACTGCCTGGCTAGCCGTAAACAGCTCGATTCACCCTTGAGGACAATAGCTGGTGTTTTTACAATACGCACGCATCATACTGTATTAGGACTGATAACCTATCTCAAAAGGGAAGCGACGGTACTAATACGGTACGTATATGCTGATAGCATGGTCTCTTCTCAAGCTTGCGCCCTGTTCCCGTCAGAGCCGTCCGCTGCTACTGCATACAGCTCCGGTTTTTGTCGTGATGCTATATGGTAGCAGACCTGCTTAAAGGCTATTCTTTAGATGTTCAAGAAGATCTTGCACAGCGTAGTAGTGGATTGTTGGTGACGGAGTCATCCACCATTGCTTCCGGCTCAGGTGCACAGAACTAATGGTGCGATATACTTCAACAGATGAAGGTAGCCATGTAGCCTCTTGCACAAGCACCTTTGTGCGATTCAGTTAATCATATAACTTCCTGGTGCGCTTCCCTGGGTGATGCTAGGTTTACTCCGTTCTGCCAAACTTGACCAGGTAGACTATAATTTACGGGCAGTTTAGATCGCGTAGAGTTCATTGCGGTCGGGCGTATAACTGGAACCGCACATTCGTTCCCCATGTTGTTGGCTTCTTGTGGCTACGATGTTCCCTCGGAATTGCCATGTGCCCGCCAAATGATAAATGGAGCGAATAAATACCTGACCAGATTGTTCCGGTCAGAGAGTACGGGGAGTGTCTCAAAATACCTCTTAAATATTTCCTCAGTGCCTCCCTGCAGATTGTCTCGCGCCATAACCCATGTCCCTTCCGACAGGCGGGGCGCGAGGATAATGGTCTGGGCTGAGTGTTGACCAGCTGGACGGCTAGTACCAAATAAAATACTACGCCACCCCTTGCACGTTAGAGCTGTGGGTGCAAGGGCTGGGAGTCCTTGGGCCAAGCAACTATTAAGCCATTACATTTAGCTAGCTATCTACTTATGCAGAGCCGTGGTCTGTCCTATATGGATTCCGTGTAAGGACCTGTCGTCTCCTATGCCGCTCATCCCTCATCTTCATTACCTCAAGAGTCGCGGTTGGAGTTGCTGCAACTGTGGAGAAACAGGAAACAGAATGGACGGTTGTCTTGGGCCTCCTGGGGGGCGAATGGGGGATTGTCCTCACTACGTCTGCACACAATGCAGCTATACCAGATTCAGGTAGCTGGGATGATAGCACTCGTGCGGCTTCACTGGACATTTTCCCATTACTTCGCGTTGGAGCACCCGTGCCACAAACCCCCTTACCTGAAACGGGGCAATGCGCGGATCACGAACCTTAAGAGTGGATACATTGAATGATGGGTTCACAAAATACAAAGCGACGTAGAGGGTGATTTGCAAGGGTTGGATAATATGTTGTAGCATATATTTTCGCAGAGCCTGCCAAATATCAGTGGTTGCACATGTATGCCTTTTCTTGAATCTCAAACCATGAGCCTCCGCATCGCACATGCCGTCTTGAACAGATGGCGACTTACTCAAGAGCTATGTCGATGTAGAGCAGCAGGCCGCGCGCGATCGCGAGTACGGCCATCATTAAGAGTCCGCGTCTAACTGGCAAGCTCGCAGCGGTCAGCTACGACTTGTTGAGTCGGTTACGGGGTGCAAGAGGGCGGCTTCAGGGCTTGTCGGTTCCTGCGAAGTGGAGTAGCACGAAACTTGAGGTATTTGTTCAGAGGACACTTAGACCACCTCGCCTGCTTCCCTTTCCCCATATTATTATTAATATATTACTTCGGGCATTTTGACGCTTCCTTTTCTGTCCCATTCCAGTTCGCGGGACAGTGAACACTACGCTAGAAACGATAAGGGTTAGCCGTAGCATTGTCTCGACGAGTCAGCGTCAAACAGGAGTCTGTTGTCCTGGCGAGACTGGTTCGTTCTACTCGTGCCACGCCCCCACTTTTTCGGGTCGCGACTTTTTCTGCACCCTTAAAAAGTCGCGACCCGAAAAAGTGGGGGCATGGCACGAGTACGGGCGAAGGTGACAAAATCATCTGGTAAGGAGGGTGTGATATGGTCTCGACGCACATGCTTGAGGGCGAGTTCATTAGGCGAGAATCGCTCTTTCAGCTACCGAAGAACTCCTCATTACTATTCGGGAATGCCTCGCGGAGACGGTCATCGATCCAGGATAGCTGTCGCAGTCCCAGCATGCTCTTCTCATCGATGATCAGGTAGTTGATGTCCTTCAGCTTCTTCTGGAGATGGGCCATGTCAGTGGGCGAGAGGGGCTTGAAGTCCTTGTTGATTGGAAGGTGTAACAGGGAGTGCAAAGTAGTCCCCGATATCTGATTTCCCGCGACGCCAGTGGGCGCGGCACGCCAAACAGGTGTCCCTCTCCCGGCAGCAGCGGCTTGGAGGTGCGCGGAGAGCAAATTAATGAGGTATGACTTCCCGGTACCACCTCCACCATCCACATGGAGCAGCAACTGAGAGGGTTCCTGATTCAGGAAGCGGTCCATCACGGTATCGTATACTAAGCGCTGATCCCGATTTAGGGAATCTCGAGCTTCCAAGGGCTGATGATCCACATCAAGGTCAAGGCGGTTTGCCGCCTTGCGTTGCTTCCAGTAGTCGCCCTTGAGAATACCGTCATCAGTATACCGTCCAACGTGAGGGGTCCAATCATAATTGATGTCGATGTCTCGGCGGCCGAGGATGTCGATATCCTCTTCTTCCAGCGGGCGGTCGGGAAGCATGCGGGCGAGTTCATGCCAGTCTTCATCCACAATGGGCTCTTCATGGACCTCAAGCTCAAATTCGTCATCCTCAGCCCTCAATTCATTTGTATCTGGCTCCCCATAATGATCGTCCGCATGGGTGTCACCGTGCTGCTCTCTGCAAAACCTGTACGCAGCCGCGAAGGAATCGAACCGCTGCCCGCCCACGGTGAGCAACTCCTCTGGAGAGCGATGCGGATGAGCCATCATCAATTTAACACGGCAGAAGTCACCAAACTGGGGAGATGCCTCCACGGACCTGTATCGAGGAAAGTAAGACAGGACTCTCTTCTTCGCGTTGGCAGCGAGTCTCCTCCACGTCTTGAGATTATACGATTGCAGTTCCTCGAGGTAGGTTGCATCCTCGTGCTGGTCATTTCTCTCGAGATACCTCCTGTAGCTGCCGACGGTCTCGTTGATATCTTCATCCACGCGATACGAACGCACAAGTTGCTCCAACGGGCGACAGTCGACGGAGACGACCGTTCGAGTGCCTTCCTGCAGCGGATGTTAAGCAGCAGATGGGAAATCTCCTGCGCCGAGTAATCCCTCTCGGCGACCAGCTTATTCATTAGGCGAGAGGAGAAGGACAATAGGGGCTGACGGTGTGCCGTGTGCGGCAAAACCTGGTCTGCAAGCTTACAGTAAGGCTCAATTAGACTTCTTTATGTTTTACCTTCTATAAAATCAAGAAAAATAGCTTAAAATTCGATAAAAGTTTCCACAGCATGTAAAGAACTATATCTATACTCTCAAACTATTAATATCCAAGCATATGGCAAATTTGAAGAGTTGTAGGTTATCAAGCCAGACGCTTAGTCATGATTTCCCAAAAGTCGCGCGCCCGGGCGCCCGAATATAAATATGACAGCCTTAAACACCCAAATATAATAAATAAAAATTCAAAACTGAAAAAAAAAACCTACTGCCATATGTATTGTGTGAATATATATCCCAGAATAGCTTTTTTGTAACTTTTGACATGTATTTTATCGGGTTGTCATTGAAAACGTCAAATACCTATAAATGGGCGCCCGGGCGCCCATGTATCAGTCGCCGGATCTATTATCCAGAAGCAGGCGGACGTTCTGGACCCGCTCAGGTTGCGGGCCACTAAAGGCCCTGCAGATGGCTCTGGAGACGCAGAGAGAAGGCCGCGAAAGAGTTCTCGACAGCACTCGGCCTACGTGGATTTAGCCCTACTAGTCAACAGAAATACCGCAGGCTTTGGAAGAATCTTGCAAATTGGCGAAAGGCTGGTGTCAAGATGATACTATTCTATCGTACAACACAATTTGATAATTTTTGCGAGAAATACTCCGAAGAGGCGACGACTCCTCTAGACAAAAAGGTACTCTCATTGGAGGACAAGTATCGCCCTCACATCCAGCAACTTGAGCATCGAGTGATGAAAGAGGCCCGGGGCGATATGACTGGGCGCATTTGATTGCAGGAGCCATTCATTATGGAGAAGATAAAGGTCCCGGAAAAATCGTGGAACAATGCCAACAACCCGTGGCTTTCCGATGCAGAA